GACCAAGCCTTTAACACATGGACCTTTGGGGGACCATAGCAGTGTGGAAATCCTATCTTTTGATTAGCTTTGTAGAATTTTTAGACACAGTCTCTCTTAGCACTTAATTTTTTAGAAAATAATGGTGAGATTATAACCATTAAAAATTCTACTATAGTAGTCTATCAATAACAGGTAGCATTATGCTCTTAGTAATCTCTTGATCAATAGTATTGGAAAAAATGAAAAACAATTGAAATGAAAACCTCAAATTAAATTAATACCAAAGTCTTGATTCTAACAAACTGTATTAGGATGTGATATTAGGGACAAAGTGTTGCAATTAGATCTTCCAGTGGGCATCTGAATGCCCTTGGCCATGATTTGATAAGCCTCTACTCTTCCCATTTCTCCTTGCTGCTGCCTTTCTTAAAGCTGAAAGGTTGAGCCTTATCAGAAAAGAGAGGTGCAGTTATAGCAGCCTGCAGAGATGTCCTGGGTAGCATACTCTCATCCTAGGCCTGACTGCATTCATTCCTAAGTGAAAGAAGCTTGTTTTTTTGGCCAGGCTTGTGTAGGGAAGTTAGTACTAAGTGAGACCATGTGCAGAATTAGGCAAAGAATAGATCCTCCAGAAGATGTTTGTTTGTTTATGTATTTATCTATTTATTTATTTTGGTGCTGGGGATTGAACCCAAGGCCTTGTGCATACAAGGCAAGCACTCACTCTACCACTGAGCTGAATCCCCAGTCCTAGAAGATGTTTATTAATAAAAACATGTTGAATGGCTGACTGGTACGGTTCCATTTAGAGTCATCTGTTACAAAGCTAAGGGAAGAAGTATAGGATAGTCTCACTGGGTGCTGTGACTTTAATGCAAAAGTGAAGGCAATAAACATCAGAAAGATACTTCTGAGATTACATATGTATTCTAAATAAATATGAATTCTAAAGTATATACTAGGTCTAACTATACCCCATTGATATTTTTTAAAAATTACAAAATAAAGTAGAAAGTAAAACCTTCTTTCCCACCTGCATTTTTTCTTTCTTTCCCCAGAAGAAACCACTCTTAACTATAGTTATTTCTTGTATGGCTCTTTTGCAGTTCTTTTTATGTGTATGTCAGTACATCAACATGAATGGTTGTTATTATTTAAACATCTTAAAATTTACACATTTATACAAGAAAGGTAAGGCAAAAAAATCACTAGGCTCATACCAAGAAATTCCAAGGTAGAAACTGTGAATGTCTATTTAATTTGGTACCACATTACAAAAATCCAAGCATATTTTACCCTGGTAAGACTACATTGCAAAGTGGAAATATTTTAAATTTAAAGACATAGAATGAAAGAAATATTTGAGACAACAATTTTAATAATACAGTGTTATCTGTATTACCTCTAGCTTCAGGCTGATGCCATCAACGCTTTCGGAGAATCACTACAAAAGAAACTCCTGGACATTGAAGGATTATATTCAAAAGTTCGATCTCGTTATAGTTTCATACAGGCTCTTGTCAGACGTATCCGTGGCCTACTGAGGATATCAAGGAACTGAGCCTGTTCTTTTGCTCTTCAGTGGAAGAGATAAATTGGGAAACACTGTCTTCTTTTTATAGTTTGTTTCTAAATTATGACCAAAAAATATTTTGCTATTTCTTTCTTTATATATGGACATTTTTTTCTGTAAACTCTTTGCCTCATTTCATCCTCACTTGTAAAAAAAAAATAAATCTTTTTTAAAAAAACAAAGCAAATGTATGGTCACTCTTTTGAAATTTTAACTAGGACATGATCAACATTACTGAAAATCTAACAAATTTCCACATTAGTAGTTTGCCCCTAAAGACATTCTGAACATTAAAATAAAGGCATAGTCTGGGAACCCTGACTTTTTTTGCTCATTGTACTTACATTATAATTTTATGATATTCATGGTTACTCCATGGGGTAAGGTGGATAAAGAGCTCTTGCCATCCTTTGTTATTGAATAGTCTGCAATACCTGAAAGCATATTATAGAAATGCTCAAAAAGTCATCTCTCTCCTAAAATTAGGTTTTATCCTTTTTTCCTTTTCAGCACATAAAATGACAGTATGTTAATTTGCATTTGTTCCTTACAAATAATTGTGACATTTCTCAATCATCTTTCAATATTTCTCATTAATATAATGGGTATCTCTAGGATTAAAAAAAATTATATAATCACCACTATTTCCCAGTTATATTCAAGTGACTGTGTCATCTGAGGGAACATTTTTTCCTTTCCAACCAGCAATTATTTTAACCTAATATATAGGAGAGACTACTAAGAGGGGAATAAGTCTTGATTCATGTAGAAACAGAAAATTAATACTTAGTTCTATGGTGTTGTGGTGTTTCTTTTTTAAATCTAATAAAATTTCCATGACTTAAGTATTTTTTTAAAGGCTTGATTATTGTTATATTCTAAAGTTGATTTATTGCCCACTAGTTATAAACAATAGTCTTTAGCTGGACAATAGTTAATAGAAATCTTAGTGGGGGGTAAATGAATGAAATGAGTGGATCCAAAATAACTCTCCTCATGTCTGTTGCTCCACTGCTCAGATAAAAACACACACATACTTTTTTTTTTTTTTTTGGACGGGGATGAACCTAGGGCCTCACACAAGCTAGGCAAGTGTTCTGCCACTAAGCTACACCCCAGCCTGCATATAGTAATAATCTTTTATTTGGAACACAGGCTCACTTCCTGAATGAGCAGCAAAGCTGTGCATGGAAACTAAGCACTTTATAAACCTGTGAACCCTTCCATACTAGATATTTGCTAAATTTGGAATTGAAATTGTGGGTTTACTAAACACCATTATCTTGTTTTCTTATTTCTTCCAAAAATGTAGCTGATTGTAGATCAGAAGTTGGGGCAGTGGAGAAGTGTGAGGGAGTTGGAGGAAGGACTGTAGCTTTATTGTGGTGCTGACCAGAAATGCTTTTTTTCTGACAAGCAGCAACCTGCTTGGGCTTTGTTACCTAGGGCAAAGGGTGTTGGGTACAGCCTGGCCATTCAGCCAAGCAAAGGGGAGGAAACCAGGGTTAGATACTTTTTTTTTTTAAAGTTAGCATTTCAAGCAAAGGTTCATCTAATCCTCAAAAATACTAAATTGATGTACGATTTTAATTCATTTTTATTGAGTTCATTAGTTTGTTGGTGTTGGGAAACAAGTGTACTCTCTTCCTAGTCGTTATCACTATAGTTTTGACAAATGGATGACATGCAAATTAACATGTCTTATTTGAACTATACACATTCTAGCCTGTTCCAAATATTTGTCTATTGTTTTCCCAACTCTTAAAAATTTTTGAATTAGAATAGTTGGAAGAAAACTAAAAACCAAATACTTTTTACCTAGATTCAAATTCTCAATAATTTGCATATCTTTATGAGTATGTGTTTGTGTTTATACATATGTATCTAATTTTTTCCTTAACTTGTAATCATGACACTATCCCTAAATATTTTAACAAGAACAATATTTTCTTCTGAACTCCAATTATCACATTTAAGACATTTGATAAAAAAATATTTTCTAATAGTATGTCCATATCAAAATTTTCTCAATTGATCAAAAAATGTACTTTAGAACTTTCATTGGACCTAGGATCTGATCAAGAATTATACATTATAATCAGTCATTTTATTCTTAAACAGTTCCTTACCCTTTTGGTGGGGAAGGTGGTAAAGTACTTAAGCAATTTTGAAAAAGCTTCCACACTTCCACACTTCTTTTGATTAGATTCAGGTTAAACATTTTCAGTAAGAATCCAACTGTATAGGTGATCTTATAACTGTGCCTTAAATACATCATATCAGAGCCCTGTGCATGCCTGTAATCCCAGTGGCTCAGGAGGCTGAGGCAGGAAGATCGTGAGTTCAAAGCCAGCCTTAACAAAAAAAAATAAAAGATATCAGGAGATTCATAACAGACTCATGATATTAAGTTTGATCTCTTGGTCAAGATGGTGTTTAACACACATCTCCATTATACAGGTTATTTCTTTCCCATTGTAATAAGTAATCTGTGGGTGATAACTTTGAAAACTTAACAACCATTGTCTTAATTCGAGTATTTTATTTAAAAATTAGGTTCAATCATATAAATAATATAATCAATATAATAAGCATCAAGATACTTAGGCTTACGTCATACACCCAATTTATTACTCATTTTTTTCCTCAGGTCTTGTTTTTTGTGAAAAGAAATATGGTAGATATCATTGAAGCCTCTGTGAAATCCCTGATCCCACTGTCCTACTTCCCTCTCAAGAACTGATCGTTGGGGCTGGGGATGTGGCTCAAGCGGTAGTGCGATCGCCTGGCATCCGCGCAGCGCTGGGTCAGATCCTCAGCACCACATACAAATAACGATGTTGTGTCCACTGAAAAACTAAAGAATAAATATTAAAAGATTCTCTCTCTCTCTCAAAAAAAAAAAAAAAAAAGAACTCATCGTTAATCCTATCCATATGTTTTATACTTCCACTCCATATGGGTATATTCATAGGCATTAAATAGTATTGTTTTGCAAGTTGGTAATGTTTTTATGTGTGTCAATACCGTGTGGAGTAATTTGCAAATTTTTTTCATTCAACATTGTTTTTGATAATTTCTCAAGTTTGTTTATTATGATTATTGAATAGTTACAGTATCCTATTATACAAGTACACTACTTATGCCTTGTACTAACAGTGGATCTGCAGACATTTAGGTTTCCAAAATTTTGCAAACTACAATGACTATCATCATATGTGTCTCTCTGGATGAGACAGACTCTTAAGAAGGCTTATATAGGGCTAGGAAGATACTGTGTCCACCTATAACTAAAAAAATATATTTTTAAAAAAGAAGGCTTATACAGAGTATATAATTAGAAGTGAAAATCCTGCATTAAAGGTTAAGAGCTTTCCTTTCATCAGACATTATAATTTTTTTCTTGGTGGTTGCCTCATTGTACCCCTATCTGTGTGACTACACCATGGATAATACTTCCAGTTGTACATTTAATTTTAACGAATCTGATGAGTGTAAAACAGTTAAGTATCTCAATTGATTTGCATATTTGTGTATTATTCGCCATTTTTTTCCCTAATATGCTTCCCCCCCATTTTCTGTGTAGGGAGTGATTATACATTGAGAATGGCTTTAATTTTTTAAGTTTTTTTTTTTGCAGATATTTGCCTTCAGTCTGTTGACTGATTTTATAGTGTACATTACTGTTTTTGTTTTAAATTATTTTTTCCTCCAATCTGAGATCATAAAGATTTTTCTTCTGTTGGTTTGTCAGAAAGAAGCAATGAGTCAGATGTATGGAGAAAAACAGAAATGTAGAGAAAATATTTAAATTCCTAATACTGCATTGTTGTCCATCAGATCTGTATAATGCATTCCTGTTTAGTTTAAGCTTGTATGACTTTGAGGGTTTTATTATTTATAATCAATTCTACTTAATATAGATTAGGTCGATTTGGAGTACTGAGAGCAGGCAGAGAAGGGTGGGTTCACTGTGAGTGTGTGTGTGTGTGTGTGTGTGTGTGTTAAGGGGTATTTTTGTCTATATTGATCCCCTTTCTTGATCTCAGTTCTACCAGGTAGCTGATGTGAATTGCATTTATACAGGCGGAAACTGAAATTTAGAAGTGTTAGTTGCCCTTGGCTGCCAGACAGTGCAAAGAAATCAGGACTTGGACTCATTGCTGTGCTAGCACCCATATATCTTCATCTTAACTACTTAAGCACCTAACCTCGATCTTGAGTCCTCAGATAGGTTGCACTAGTGGAGCTTTTGAAAATTCCTCCCTAGTACCTCAGAATCCACGTGGGGTTTGGGTAAATGTTGGGAAGGGTTCCCAGGCCATTGAGCTGCGCATCCAGGCATGGGACGCGCTTCTTCATCCCGTCTTGTGAGCCACGGTGCCCTAAACCTGGCTGTGATCAGAATCTTTGGTGTGCTTGGATGAACACAGATACCTGGGCACCTGGGCAAGTTTACAAAAGCGGAAGTTCAAAGTGGTCCTGTTCTGGCGGCGAGCCTGGGATGCTCCGCTAGGGAGCGCCTCGAGACGCTTCCGGGGGCGTGGCGTGGCCCGGAAGCAGACGGTGGTTTCCGCCCTCGCGCCCGGGCAGGCAGGCTCCGACCGGCCAGTGGAGCTGTAGCCGGGTTTCTGTCCCTCCTTGTGTTCTCGGCCGACAGCATGCTCCAGTTCCTGGTGAGTGGAGCTGCCGAGGAGCGGGACCCGCAGCTCAGGGTCGCCTCGGGATCCGGCCACGCCAGCGGTGGCCCTTGGGCTTTGGGCGCGGGACCGTCCCCGCAGCCCCGTGCCTGTGGTCGCCTCTCGGGGAGGCCTGTGGGGTTTTTTTTCCTGCCTCTCCCTAGATCCTTTGCCAGCGTTCATCTGCAGGCATCCCAGGTCTTAAAACTTGGAGGGGAGTTCAGGGCGCTCATTGTGTAATCCTCCCTTGCAAGCTTTGTCATTAGACGTCCTTAGTGACTTTTTGTAGTCGTCCCCTCTTATGTGCTCCTGTCCCCCGACAAAGGCCCAGGCCCCATCCTGACTTAGAGCCTGATGGTTGGCCGCCACCTCACGAGGTCAGTGAGAGCCTTCGGCAGACTCACCCGATCTTTTTATAAGTTTCTGACTTTGAGGAGTGAGTCAGACACTGTTGTACAAGTAATTTTTCCCAGAATCCGTTTTTATTTTAGGCGGGGTGGGGGTATGAGTATAACCATGAGTAAGCAGATTATTTCTCATGGCTGCTATTTGAGTTAAAAATGCATTTTCTGGTGAAGGTCGGTTCCTGAGGACTTGCCAAAGTTCCAAGTGAAAGTTTTTGACTAAATTGTTGTGCGTCCAAACTTGATGCTTTCAACCTTTTATTATTGTTGTTCTTGTTGTTATGGAGGGCTGGGGATTGAACCAAGGGCCTTGTGCATGCGAGGCAAGCCCTCTACCAACTGAGCTATATCCCCAGTCCTCACTCTTATTTTATCATCATTAACATCATAATTTTGGTCCTGGTGATTAAACTCAAGGGTGACCTACCACTGAGCTACATCCCCAGCCCTTTTTTTTTTTTTTTTTTTAATTGAGACAAGGTCTTGCTAAGTCGCCTGGCTGAGCTGGAATTTGCCATCTCTCTGCTTCAGCATCCCGTGTAGCTGGAATTACAGGTGTGGTTGCCATTATGCCCAACTCAACCTCTACTTCTAATGAGGCAGATATTCTGTATCTTTTAGATGATCAGTGGAAACCCTGCTGCTCTGGGAATGAGTTGATTTCTCAAATGTACTTTGGAAAGATAGCGATTGGTTATTAAGTCCAGTTAACCAAGAGAGAATCCTAGATCAAACTGCTAAACAGGGCTACTCCTTTGCCTGTGGGAGTTTCTATAGTGTCTTAAGTGTTAGCTTAGGAGTTAGGAGTAATTAGCAGCTGCTTGTAGGAAGCACTTAGTTAAAAGCAGTATCAACCTCTAAGTGTATGATGACATAATTGATTGTCCCACTACATCAGTTGCTCATTGATAAACTGAGAGGTCATTGGCCAGTTACAATTAACTTTTTAAGTGCTTTTGCAGCAGAATTGAGTTTATTTGTGCTGTGTATAAACATGGATTCTGATTTGAGAATTCAAAATTCTCAGCATTGAAGGAGAGATGCTGAAGCCATTGATTGAATTCCTAGCTCTTAAGTAACTAGACTCTGTTGCCTCCTGGCCTCTCTCCTACCTGTTGCTTTTGTTGAAAACAGTGGATAGCATTGCTTTTCACACTGAGTCCTCCTCTTTTACATGATTTACTAACTTTGTTAACTTGGGCAAATCTTTCTCTTTGTTTTCAGTCATTTCAACTGTAAAACATGGCTGTCACGTCCTAGTGTTTAAGAGGTTGGACTCCAGAATCAGACTGCTTGGGTTTGAATCCTACCTCTTATCATTCTCAAGCTGTGGGAGTTTGGGTGGGTTATTTAAATTTTCTATGCTTCTGTTTCCTCATCATAGTTTTGTTATAACTTATTAAAAATAAGTTAATATAGTAAATACTTAGTGAAGTTCCAGTGCACTTGTGTTGCTTATATATTCCTTTCTCCTTAAAGTATTTGTCCATAATCCCTATTTCTACAAGTTGTTCCTAGTTTAGCTAAATTATTTTAAGGAAGCTGTTCTAAGGGAAAGCCTAATTGGTATCACTGCTGTGGCTCTGTGCATGCCACTGTGGTACTGTTACTGTTGTTATTTGTTTTTCTGCTTTTGGGCAGCAGTACTTTCAACTCAGATCACCTCATCTTTGATCTTCGTTGGCTTTTGGATCCCGTATCTTGGTACTTTCCAATATTCTTTCATGTTATAACATGCAAAAATTATTTTTTTCATGGAAAAACCCACAGAGTGAAGGTGACCATCTCTGAGTGCTGGCTCTTCCCAGGGCTGAGGTATCATATCTGCTTGCACCAGTTTGGGAAACTGCTCTCATTTCTCCTGGCTGCTTTTCTCTGTTCTTGGTTACTATGTGTTGTTCAAGGCTTAGTCCTTGACCCTCCTTTATCCTCTACAGACTCACTTATAGGGAATGGGTTCCTTTTCATGCCATCACATCTCACCTGTTTGCAGGCAGCTTCTAAAACTACCTTGAGTCCATCCAGTTCCCTGATATCAAATCAGCTGACCTTCTCATGTCTGCCTCTATCTCAGACTCCACCAAATCAGCTGACCTTTTCACTTCTGCCTCTATCTCAGACTCATGTCCAGATCCATTATCTCTTCCTTCCAATTCCTATCCCACCTAATTTTTCTGTTCTCAAATATCTCCCATATTTGAAATGTTGACATAGTCTTTGATTTATTTCTTTTCTTCATTCTTGGGGGTGGTGGTGGTGATTGGTACTGGGTATTGAACCCAGGGGCACTTTTATTTTTAATCTTTTTATTTTTAATTTTGAGACAGTGTCTCACTAAGTTGCTTAGGGACTCACTGAGTTGCTGAGACTAGTTTTGAACTTGTGATCCTCCTGCCTTGGCCTCCCTAGCAGCTGGAATTCCAGGTGTGTACCATGGCACCTGGCTTCTTCATGCTTCATATTATTTTCCTGCTATATAATCTTGAGCAAGTTTTTTAATTGCTCTCTGCCTCAGTGTTCCCAACATGAAACTGGACAATGCTAATATCTGCTTGTAAGGTTATATCAGTTCTACCTGGTACACCCTTTTCCAGAGTGACACTGGTTTTTCATGAATGTCTCTATTTAATTTACTGGTGCAATTAAAGATGTGAGTTAACTCATGAAAAAAAAAGAATTAGAATGTTACCTTGCATGTAATAAGCTGTCAATAAAAAAATTTTTTTGAGCCATTTAGTCTCGTTGCTTATTTAGGAAAAGTTCTCTCTGTTCCCCCTACTACTTTTGCAGAGTGGATAGTTTTCATTCCACTCTCAGACTAGTTAGCTGATATAGAATTTATTATATTTTGAATTGGAAGGGTTATTTTAGGCTCTTCATTTTAGCTAATATGCTGACGGTTAATCTCAGCTACTAAAGGCCCTAGGAAGGGTATGTACAAGGCACTTGGTCAATACTTCGTGATTGATTTTGTTTAAAATTGGCTCTCCAGATTAGTGGGCTGCTTCTGCAGATTCAACTGTGGATCAGAAATATTTGAAAAAAAAAATTGCATTTGTATTGAACATGTAAATTTTTTCCTTGACATTATTCCTAAATAATACAGCAAAATGACTATCTAAAAATATAAGTAATCTGGAGATGATTTAAAGTATACAGGAGAATGTGTATAGGTTACCATGCCATTTTATAGAAGGGTCTTGGGCATTTGCATATTTGGTAGCTGAGGGGGTCCAGGAACCAGACCCCTGTGGATTGGGACAGCTATATTTAATTGCAGGTCTTTGTCCTTTGCCTCATTACTACTCTCAGTCATAATTCAACTGAATATTTGCCTCAGCTTCTTTGAGAACAGTCAAACCAGTTCTACATGGTATACCTTTTTCCAGAGTGTTAACTGGTTTTTCATGAATGTCTCTATTTAATTTACTGGTGCAATTAAAGATTTAACAGTTTTTATCCCCTTATTCTTTCTTTTTTTTATTCTATAAGCAAAATTATTGAATATAAAATGTAGCTTACTCTTAAAAATGTGCTTCTCTGTGGCATTAGTAGAAGGAATATAGATTATATCCTTAGATTTTCATTTTAATGTACAGAATGAGTTTTATTATCACTTGAAGTATTGTTAAACTCATTTGAAAATGTTCTCCGCATCAGGTTTAAAAACTAAGGCACAAAAAAAAATGGTGACTTGTTTTGTGCCTCCATAGAATGTAGAAGTCTTTTGACTGCTTCTCTAGCTGAGTCTGAAATTGAGAAATAAAATTACCAACTTTATTAGTAATATTTAATTTTGTTTTGTCTTTCTTCTTAGTGTAGACTTTCTTACCTTGGGCCATGAATCATTTTTAGGTACCCTCTTGAATGCTAGTTGAAGCTATATTTGCTAAGTAAAATGAGATTATTTTTAGATTTCTTAAATGGTATGTCACTTTTGAAAATGTAATTGATGAGTCATAGTTCAGACTTGTCACATACTTTGGGCTATTGTCAACCACTGTAAGTTATTGCCAGGAGCCTACTCCAAAAAATATTGTAACTTTATTTGCTAACAACTTTTTGATTGGGGAAGGAATTGAACAAGAGTCAGTTTACTTTGGATTTGGCTTTGTTCTTTTAAGAGTTTGTGCTTTTTTTACGTTAATAGTTAAAGTATTGTGACTGATCTGCTCCTGTATGTCCAAACAACAACAACAAAAAATGCTGAAAACATTTTTCATGGAGTGTTCATACGGAGCCAATTATCTGACTTTTTCATTCAGTTTATCTCCCTTTTTCATTTCTGACATTTCCATTCTTTTTAAACATTTGTCCATTCTGGAAGCCTCAAAATTGTCTTTGATTTCTTTAGGTTCATCCCAGTGACTGACGTTATTTTACCAAATTTTAATAACTTTTTCAGCTTTGAGATCCAATTCATCCATTTAAGATGCATAGTGTTTTGTTTGTTTGTTTATTTTTGTATCGGGGATTGAATCCAGGGAGCTTTACTGCTGAGCCACATTCTCCAATCCCCATTCTGGTTTTGTTTTTGTTTTTTTGAGACAGAGTCTCCCTAAGTTGCTAAGGCTGGCAGAGAAACTTGGGTTCCTCCCGCTTCAGCCTCCCCAGTCACTTGGGATTACAGGAGCATGCCACTGTCTCCATGCCTGGCAAATTCAGTGTTTTTTAATATGTTCACAGACTACACACATCAACACTATCTCATTTTATACCTAATGTCTCATAACCTCAGAAAGAAACCCTGTACATACTAATATTCATTTCTCATTTCCCTCTCCCCCCAACCCTGGGCAACCATCAATTTATTTTCTGTCTCTGTGAAATTGTCTATTCTGGGTATGTCCTTTAAATGGAATCATACAATATGTGGGGTTTTTTTGGATTGCCTTTCACAGTGTTTTCATGATTCATCTATATCATGGCATGAATCAGTGCTCCATTCCTTTTCATGGCTAAATAATATTACATCCTATGGATATACCACATTTTTTAATCACTTCACTTGTTTATGTACATTTTAAGTTGTTTTCTACCTTTTGGCTATTAATAATCTTGCTAGGAATACACAAGTTTCTTTGTGTGTATGTATGTTTCACTTAAGACTCTTAGGTGTACACTCTTATTTATTTATTTATTTTAGTTGTAGATGAACACACCACCTTTATTTTATTTTTTTATTCTTATATGGTGCTGAGAATTGAACCCAGTGTGAGGTACTCCACCACTGAGCCACAGCCCTAACCTCAAGATATATGCTCTTAAATGGAATTGCGGTATATATGTTAACTGTCTGCTGAGCTTTTTTGAGGAACTGTTAGCCTGTTTTCCAGTGTCACTGTATCGTTTTACATTCCCAACAGCATTTTTTAAAAGTTCCAATTTCTCCACATTCTCATCCACATTTGTTCATTTTTTTTGACTACAGCCATTCTAGTGAGTGTGACTTGGTGTCTCACAATAGTTTTGATTTGCATTCCCTCAGTGGTAATTGATGTTGAGCATCCTTTTATGTGCTTACTGTCTTTTTGTTTTTTCTTTGGAGAAATCCTTTCAAAACTATTGCCTATTTTTAAATTGAGTTATTTGTCATTTTTACCATTTGATTGTAAGAGTTCTTTATTCTTTTTTAAAAATTTATTTATTTATTTTTCATTTGTTTTAATTAGTTACATATGACAGTACAATGATCTTGACATATCAGATGGGGTATAATTTCTCATTTTTCTGACTGTACAGGTTGCCGAATCACATTGGTCATGCAGTCACGTATATACATACAGCAATAATAATATCTATTTTATTCTGCTGTCTTAATACAAGTATCCCAGATATATGATTTGCAAATATTTTATCTTATTCTGTGGGTTTTCTCTCTCCTTCCTTCCTTTCTTTCTGATGTTCAAAGCCAATCATTTATCTATTTTATTATTTGTTTATGTATTTTGCAATGCTGGGGATCAAACCCAGGACCTTAAGCATGCTAGGCAAGCCCTTTACCATTGAACTACACCCCAGCCTGTTTTTTTTTCTTTCTTAATGATAATCTTTGAAACATAAATATTTTTAATTTTGATGAAGCCTAATGTGTCTATTTTTCCTTTTGTCATTCTATGCTTTTGGTATCATAACTAAGAAAACCATTGCCTAGCCCCAAGTTGTGAAAGTTTACTTCATTTTTTCCCCCGTTTTATAGTTTTAGCTCTTATAGTAATTAGGTCTTTGAGTTAATTTTTGTGTATGATGTGAAGTAGGGATCCACTTTTATTCTGTTGTCTCAGCACCATTTCTTGAAAAGACTATTCTTTCCTCATTGATTGCCTTAATACCCTGTTGCAAATTACTTGACCATGAATGTAAATGTTTGTTTCTGGATTCTTCATTCATGTTTGCTTGTTTTCTCATGTTACCACATTAATCTGTACTTAGCTTTTTTGAGGTGAATGCTTCCAAAGCTGGGTTTTCATCCCATTTCTGCTGTTGGAGGATAGTCACTGGCTACCATATTATGGGAATGAAACTCCTTTGCTTGTTTTTTAAGGTCTGTCAACTAGCCCTGCTGAGCTCTACATGCATATTGTTCTCCATTCCTTACTCAATTCCTCTTTTCTAATCAGGCCTTTTTCTTTTGGGGGGAGCAGGGGGTGCCAGGGATTGAATTCAAGGGCATTAAACCACTGAGCCACATCCCCAGCCCTATTTTGTATTTTATTTAGAGACAGGGTCTCACTGAGTTGCTTACTGCCTTGCTGTTGCTGAGGCTGGCTTTGAACCTGATCCTCTTGCCTCAGCCTCCTCAGGCGCTGGGATTACAGGCGTGCGCCACTGCACCCAGCTAGGCCTTTTTCTTTTATTCTAGTCATATCCTTATTCCCATCTTGTGTCTTGCTTCTCCACTGTCAGTTCCCCTTCCAGTTCTTTGGCCAATTTAAATTTTAACACTTCCTCAGCATATTTAGAGCCTTATTAAAGACACAACTTATAATACATCCTTTCCTTTCAGGTGGTTTTTTAACTATATCATTCATTTTCCCTCTTAATGCAGACCTTGTTCTAGTTGTTGGAGCATCTGTACCATTCAAGATCCTGTGCTGGGTGCTGCCTACTGTTGTTATATAATTGCCATTATGTAGTATTTCTTCCTGTGTATCATATAAATTCTCTTAGAGACAAAGTAAACCTTTTGCAGGGTTGACTATGAAATTAATTTTAGTATATAGGAACCTGCAATCTCTTAAAATTTGGAGGGCCAGATATATTTGGGAAATTAGGTTACTTTTTGATTATAGAAGAATAATAAGCTACATATAACTTGATACTTCAATAACTTAGAAGGGTCTGGGATAGCAGTTTGTAAGCAAATTCACTAAAAAATTTTGCTGTTAAACATTTTTCAGTGGGGTTGAGGGTGGATCTTATAAAGATTTCTATTTCTATAGCAAAAAAATTATTCACACTAAAATGTGATAAAGACTATAAATAGTCATATATCTATTTAAGTCAGATGTGATTTTGCTGCCAAATAAGATCTAATTGCAGAGCTGGAAAATGCCATTCCTCTATTATTCACTACTCTGAGCTGGTCTCCACTCCTCTTCCTGAGCTGTTAGCTCCAGCATCTTCTTTCTACCCATTCATCCCCTATACCATTTCCCTCATCTCACTCCTCCTTCCCTGGGCCTCTAGTGTTCTACTGTTTATGGTTTCTGGTGTGTTTTTGAGAAGCAGATATTTTTTCAAATTTCTAAAATCTCAAAATCCTTGCAGAGAGGGTATGATAGTAACATATTTACTGAAGAGCTTGGAAAGGTAGCATTTCACTTCTTTCTGTGATCTCATCTCTCAGGGAATGCTTATGCATAGTAAGGACCCAGGTGTATTCTGTTTCTCTGTATGCACTTCCAGTTTGAAGATAAGGTTAGACTATACCACATATGGCTGATAATACATTAAGTGCCACACTTTGGTTTTCTGTTTTATCCTCTCTATTGTGATTGGACAAAAGCAACATTGATTAAACAAAATGATGAAAAACTGGATGCCAGTTTGAATTTATGAAATTAGAAATTAAGCTTTAGATGGAGGTTCTTAATTACTAGGAGAAAAAAACAATTATCATTAAAATTTGAAGCTAAGGGGCTCAGTTGATAGAGTGCTTGCCTTGCATGCACATGGCCCTGGATTCATTCCCCAACACCACAAAAATTTTTTTTTTAAGTTAATTAACTTTGGCCCTTTTGGCATATAGGGAATACTCTAGATTTTCATGAAACAGTTTTTGTTAAGGAAGATAGTTACCCAAGGGGATAAACGTTTATAGTTCTCCAAAAATTGTGACTGTTTCTCTCAGCACTGAGTTGGATCCCTGTTGCCCACTTAGCCTAAGTGTTCTGCCCATCAGACTTCACCATGGCAGGGGGCTGATAAGCTCAGTGGTGTGTCAAAGTTTCCTAGTCATTACATATTGTACCTTTTGAGTGCTTATGTATTTTTTTTTTTTTTGAGAGAGAGAGAGAATTTTTTTAATATTTATTTTTCGGTTTTTGGTGGACACAACATCTTTATTTTATTTTTATGAGGTGCTGAGGATCGAACCCAGCGCCCCGCGCATGCCAGGCGAGCATGTTACCGCTTGAGCCACATCCTCAGCCCGCTTATGTACTTTTGAGTGCTAATGTCCTGTGCTCCTTATGAATGACCCTGGATAAGTTATTTTACTCTCTGGACCTTAACTTCCTCTTTTGAAATATGAAGAGATTGAAATGTGAGAGTCCCTTCCTTCTCTAAGATCCTGTGATTCAACTGAATAATTTTTATTTGATGTAGAGAGGAATAGCAGTATCCACAACTGAAAAATTGCAGCATTCAACAACAAAATCTGCTTGGGCTTCTAGAGTTTATATTCTGGTATTTATGGGATTTGTGAGGGGACAAAGAGAATTTAGAGTAGATTTATTCATTGCTACCATTCTTTCTTTCATATGCTCTTTAACATTTTGAGGGAAGTTACATCTGTATTTATTTTATAGAAGAAAAATGTGCATCTCATGCTAAACAATCCTAAGCTAGACATCAAGCTTCTTTACCTGTCCTGAGCTCCTGAGAAGGATCTTATCTGTGTATTGTGGTTTGGTCTCAGTTGGCACAGGACTCGGTATGCAGTGTAACTCTTCCTGTTCTGTTTTTTCAGCTTGGATTTACTTTTGGCAACGTGGTTGGAATGTATCTGGCTCAGAACTATGACGTAAGTGGCTGTCTTCATGTTTCATAGTGTCTTTTCTTTGTTGAGGTAAAGTGTGCACTTTTGGGTAAATGAAATCTTAAGTCTGAGGAGAAAATCCTGAATTTTATAGAAAGCTTTTCTACTGTTTGAAAAAAAAAAAATTTTTTTTTTTTAAATTTACAGAAACATCTGTCCTCCACATTACCACAAGAGGGCAAAATCCCGTCAGTTTAGGTGGTCTCAGGATGATCCTAAGTAGTGCTCCCTAGCCCAAGTATTATTAATTTGTTCTATGGAAAATCATGTGATAGGTGAGAATTTAAAGATTGATTGGATAATCTTTTCAGTCCTAACCCAGTAGTAGAGATGACTGAAAATTCTGGAGATGGAACAGGGCAGTGTAACATGTTTAAGGACAGAGTTTGGTGAAGTGGGAAGTCATATTAGCCTTGCTTTATAAATGGGTAAGTTGAAAGCCAGAGGCATTTTAAAAAGACAAGCGAAAGAAAGATATTAACTTTTGATTTGTTTTGTAGTAAAGTTTTTCACTTTGTCAACCTTCATTTGAGTCATCTGGCTTTCTAGACAAGGGCTTTACTGCTTTCTATCACATTTATTATTTACATATACAACTTTTACTTGGCATCAGATTGAGGGGACTAAGTGTGTGTTCAAAAGGAGAATCAGGGTCTGGCTTTCAGAGAGAGAACATTAACTTACAACCTCTGCTATTTTTTGTATGTAGTTATGAGGCTAAGAAATACTGCTGTTGAGCAGATCTCCTTCATAGGAAAATAAAAACTTGTAAAACCACCTTTGGAGAAAGAGAAGTAAAAGAATATTGATTAGGTAGATACAATAATCCTTACAATAACCATTTTTCTTTTTAAAGATACCAAACTTGGCTAAAAAACTTGAAGAGATTAAAAAGGATTTGGAAGCCAAGAAGAAACCCCCTAGTTCCTGATGCCCACTCCAGCCCTACGTTCTGGATACTCTGATTCTGCCGCCCCTGAGGGGCCTCCTGTACCATCTGATCCCAAAGCTTTTGTTTTCATCTTTTCATCTCCAGCCACAGCAATTTTCTTCTTTGATAGATCCAGTGTTGCCTCAGAGCAAAAGTGGGGCCATAAGTTAAGAACTACCCTTTATGTGTCCAACAGCCTTGCCTCTTCCCCCGCCCTTCCTTCCAGCTGACTGGAATTATGGTGCTAGTTTAGCAAAGTCGCTTCTCCCCTGTTGTTTGGGATTTCTACTACCTTTTGTCGAAAGAAAAATTAGTGAGTTTTTTGTATAGCTGATCAGATACAAATAATGCTAATTTCATAGTTTTGCAGTTATAATGGGTGCTTGTTAAACTAATTTGTTATTAAATTTTGTTGTTTCAAAGTAATTAAAATTAATATCTAGAATCCAGTTTCTGTTGAATTATCCATTTATTTTTACTGTTGTCAGGCAGCTCCATAGTTGATAATTCAACTAATAAATCAATTTGCTATTCATGAACTGAGACACTCTATTCTAAGAATCTTATCAGTAACTGGGGAATTAAAAAATATGAAAAACAATGGTTTTTGTTCTAATGACATTCACAGTCTATTTAGCATGCATGTTTTTCCTTAATGATGTATTTGATCTGACTCTTTTTCTTCAAAAGAATCATTCTTGGGATTACAGGTACATTTGACATTTTATCATGGGTAAGTGTGAAATTGTTGATAAAGGAAATGTTAAGACTTTTTACATTAAAAGATATATTTACAGTATAACTTCATAGTGCTTCTCCTAAGAAAAATGTAGTTCCACGTATAATTTTTTTTTTTTTTTAAATTGAAGTCTTGTTGCCTAGGCTAGTCTTGAACTCCAGGGCTCAAGCAATCTCCCCACCTCAGCCCCCTGAATGCTGGGATAACAGGTACATCAATATGCTGGCCAGTCTTTTTTTTTTATTTATTTAATTTTTTTTCTAGTACTAGAGATCAAACACAGGACTTCACACATGCAGGGCCAACACACTACAAGTACATCTCCAGCCCTTTTTTATTCTTTCTTTTCTTTTTTTTTTTTTTTTGTGATACTGAAGATTGAACCCAGAAGCACTTTCCACTGAGCTATATCCCAGCCCTTTTAATTTAAGACAGATCTTGCTAAATAGCTGAGGCCAACCTTTAACTTATGAGCCTCCTGTTTCAACCTTCTAAATCACTAGGAATACAGATATGCATCACCATGTCCAGCTTTTATTTTGAGACAGGGTCTTGCTAATTTGCCCAGGCTGGTCTTGAATTTGTGATCCTCCTGCCTCAACTTCTCAAGTAGCTGGGATTATAGGTGCCCCATTACTAGTTTGAATTTTTTTAATTAAAAATATTTTAGTAGGTAACTTTTCCAATGAGTGAAGATACAGAAGTGATTTCATGTAAATACAGGACCTGTCTCATCCCTATCCTCTTTATTTTTAGCTCTTCTTCCTTGGGCAGTCACTGTTACACATTCCCAGTTTACTTTTGAGGAAGAGTCTGTTCCTAAACATGTCTATATGCAAATGGTAACAAACTATACATAATTGTTTTTCTTAATGGAGCTCATTCTGTATCAGCATTTAAGGAACAAGAAGCCTTACTTCTTTTTTGGCTGTATACAGTTCTATTGAATGGATGAACCATAATTAATCTGTTACTAAAGATTGTTTAAATTGTTCTTTTCTATTACATTGATAACATAAAACCTAATGTTATTATGTATACCTCTGCAGGATATAGCTGTAAGATATAAGTCCTAAAACTATATTTACACTTATAGAGGTAAATATCCATTTCATTTTTTGTTTCAGAGGGCTTGTTGGGTAGCTTTGTCAGTAATACCTTTCTGAAGGCATTTTAGCAGAATCAAAACACTGGAAGGATTACTTAGAGACAACTTTTTTTAGTGATGACACCAACCCTATATGTGATTCCAAAATAAAGTGATTCTGATTTTCTTTGAAAACATACATGATGATAAATTTTATCCCTGTAAAGATCATCCTCCAGTGAGACAGATTAGGATCAAATTATGGTTTGGCTTCTCCCTTGCAGTGGGAAGTGGGCAAATGGCTTATTCTTTCTGAAACTCTGCATTAATCTGTAAGATTTGGATGTAATACCTACCTCATAGGATTTTCATGAGAAATAAATAATGTATATGGTGTGCTTTGCAAATTGTCCAATAAATAGTAGCTATTAGTCCAAATATGTTGCTTTTGGTCAGGATATTTTTGTATTTCTGCAATCACTTTTGGAACCAGTGCATGAACATGCAGAATGTGGTGTTATTCTGTGGTGTTAGATATTGATGAAAGTTCACAGTATCCACCTTAATCATATTGCCTCACTCACAATTTGATCTTGAATAATCAGAATTAACTACAGCCTTGAAGAATGAAGGTCCACTATTATGAAATAGAAAACTTCAGGATTGATATTGGAAACTTAATAAGTACATTAAACTTGAAAGATTTAGATTTAGGCAGCAAAATAAAACCAAATTAATCATTTAAAATTGTCAAAAAAGGGCAGAATTCTATGAGTTGAGCTTACTACTTGACATCTGTAGGCTTTTCTTATTTGGTATTTTACAGAATTAAGCAGTTATCTGCTCAGTTAAAGGAGCAATTTTATTTTTCTAATTCAGTTTTCATCTGTATAACTACAGAGAAGCTGTGTGGCTTTCCTAGTTGTCTGTACATATTAGTTCGTATGTATATGTGTAATGTTTTCATTTCCACTGAGCAGTTCACGCCCTAGATACTGTAATGGTGTTTGTTTTTCTGCTGAGGTCTCCCACATTTAAGTGCTTTTTCTGAGCTATTCCTCTTGAAGGAACACTGTATACTATACTGGAGCAAATGAGACTTCTGAAACTTCCAGTCTGGGTTTTGCACGTAGCATTGCCATTCCTTATGCAGATGAATGGATTCTTTTTCTCCACTTTAGGGCCTTGCCTTATGGAAAGAAACAGGGCAGTGAAAGGAAAATATTTTGAGGCTTGCCTATAGGGAGTATGTGACACTTAAAATTTTAAATGTTCAGCTTATACTTTTCCTAAATTTGGTTGCAACATTCAGTTAGGTACAAAAGTCCTAATGGGTGGGTGGCTTGTTGTACAAGGCACTGGATAAGAAAAAAAAACTGAGAAAAGGGAGATTTTGTGGAAAGTGCCCATCCAGGGTGGAGTGTTGCAAAACCTGGGTCCTGGGCCTGTAGAATCACTGCCTCAGTGATAGGACTGTGTGAAAGTGGAGTCACACTGTCATACATGTACAGTTGTTCAGAATTGGGACAAAAGAAAGGTGCCATGTAATCAGTTGAGATGTGCTCAGCATTCCTTCAGTGAGGGCAGCCCCAGGGTAAGCTACCAGGGTCTCGGTTCCCTTTGTCTTCTAATGGTTTAAGCATCTTGGCAATATGGTGGGATGTTCTTAGAAATATTTTTTCAAACAATGTAGTCCCCACATGCAAATGGCCAGCTATATTCATTTGGTATACACAGGGGATTTGTTCTAGCCCCCCTCCTCACTGCCATGGACACCAAAATCTGCAGATGCTCAAGTTCCTTATATGCAATGGTATAATATCCTCATATAACCCATAACATCCTCCTGTGTTCTTGAGATTACTTATAACAATACAATGTAAATGCTATGTAAATAATGACAGGGAACAAAGTCTATATGCTCAGTACTGATGCAATTTTTAAAAAATATTTTCAGTCCAGTATGATTGAAGCTACTAAGGCAAAACCTGTGGATACAGAGGACAGCTATACTTCATTTGATGTTCAGCTAAAGAAATAGGGATCTATTCTGACATTGAAGGGAAAAGTAGCAATTTTTAAAAATTTAAACATGGTGGCATATGAGTCTTTGTGACATGTAAATGCCAGTGTAAGACTGTATACCATGTACTTTGGTGACTTAAAGGAATTTCAAAGGCAACCTTGACTGAGCAAATTTAATATGTAATTGACTTGAGAATAAGATGCAACTAAGTGGCTTTCACTCTCAGTTTCATAATCAGGAAAATTACCTGGTATGAGATGATCATCTAAAGCTTTTTCATCCATGTACATTAAAAGATAAAAATCAAATAATATGAAGAGACAAGACTACTGAGAAGGGCTAGAAGTTATCCAACAGTGGGAGGACAAGGAGTTTTTTTGTTTCTGTTTTTGTTTTGGTACTGGAGATTGAACCCAGGGGTGCTTAACCACTGAGCCACATTCCCAGCCCTTAAAATTTATTTAGAGACAGGGTCTCTATAAGTTGCTTAGGGTCTCAGTAAGTTGCTGAGGCTGACTTTGAACTCAGTCCTTCTGCCTTAGCCTTCTGAGTCACTGGGATTACAGTCATGAATCACTGCACCTTAATAATTAATAACTCCTAGGCATTATTAATTATATCTTCCATTTCCTGTCACTGGAATGGGCAATCTCATTTGACTTGAATCTGGATTTAGGAAAAAATGGTACTGTTCTTAAGAGCAGCCAGTAGAACAGATTGAAACAAATGAGATTTCTAAACCAGCGGGTTGAATACACCTGCTAATGGAGCATTGGCTGCAGCTGCAGTGGGAAATTGGCGCCGCTTCCCCTTTAGCAGTGACTCAGGGTCCCAAGTAGCTGAATAGTGCTGAACAGTGGCCAGTAATCCACTTAAGTTCTAAGTCAACTTATTCTCTTTATACTTACACTCCTGGAATCTTACTGATTTTCTGTACCTTTGTCTTGTTTTCTGACTTGGCGTAGGGTCTGTGTAGGGTTGAGAAATATGATGATTTGGCTGCCTTGACAATAGTAACAACACCTGACCTTTGAAGCAGATTGATTGGAGGGATGCTGACTTGATCAAACCAGTTGTAGCATACCTAACAATGGGCATTTCATTTGATCCCTGAGATCTTTACTATTAAAATTGGCCAGATATCGACTAAGCTAATAAGCAAGACAAAAGCAGTAGCATTCCCAGTTAGACATGGCCAATCACATTTTGTATCCACAGGGGATTTGTTCTAGCCCCTCTGTGGTTGGAGTGTGTTAACTGGCACAAAAAACAAAAACAAACAAACAAAAAAACCCAAAAACAAAAACAAAACAACTTTATAACTCAGACACTTGATAAACTAAAGGAGTGATTTTATAGATAAATTATTGTGGGAAAACTTCACATGATATTGACAGTATCTTAAAATTAGTTACTACAGTGCAAAACTATGGGGGACTATTTTTTCCTTAAGATGTATTAAGTAAGCAACTGATTGTTGAAATTGGAAATACTTAATGACAACAGACTTGGAGGGATAGAGAGCTATATCCAGCCATGCAACAAGGACATCTCATGGAAAAAATTGCTTGATCTACAGGAGGAATAAGGCCTTGCCTTGCAGAGTGATTCTTATTGGGAGCATTTATTGAGCAGGTACAGCTTACTACATCATAGAAGTTGCCAGGGGAATTCAAGAGATGCAGGTATTTCCTTCCCCTCAGGGGATTATCAACAGGAAAAAGTGATTGGCATGTTGGACCTTTGGGTTATACTTATGTACTTTGTCTTCTCAGGAATGAACTACTCATTAAATCCAGAAGCAAGCCAGCATGATACCAATAAAAGTGATGTGGTCTTAATTATAGTTTTGATCTCCCTAACAAGACAGGTATGAATGTTTTCCCTCCCTCCCCACCTGTAGCCAAGGCAATGGTATTTCCAGTTAGTGAGTGGAGAAAGAAGCTAATTCAATGTGTCTTTTTTCTACTTCCTTCTCCTTTGATAAAGTGAATGATACCAGCTTTTCTTGTAAAGAGGAAAACTATTTCTTTACAGAATTTGGTGTCAAAGGGGAGCCATTGGAAAGATGGAGCCATTTTTTAAAACTGAATCAAGATAGTAATAAAAGAGGCTTTTTTTGTGAAGAGAACTTAGGATAGAAAACTTGAGATGGCTCAAGTTCTGGGTAAGGTTCCCTCAAAATAGAGTCGCTCTTTTCACCATCTGCATAGGTAGAACGATGTGCATATCTCCTTCAACTCCTAAGGAGCCACTACAAATAACAAAACCTAGTGAGGCCAGTCAATTTGAGAGGCTTCGCCCTTCAGGGGCAATTAAGACAGGCTTTCTTTTTTTCCTGTCTTAGGAAGAGTAGATAGGAAAGACTGGACCCAAGGAAGACAGATCAGTTTTTGGTTTCTTGAGCTGTGATGCTAAGGCAGGTAGGCAGCCAGGAAAGAAGACATCAACCGCCCAGCCCATGCCTGTGGTGATTGCAGGGTCCCTGCACTTCAAGGTTTAGGTGGCAGGATCTTCTGGCACCGCTGCCTTCAGTGTGTTTCTGGGGCATGCTCCTGGTAATTTTCTTTGCCTGTGGTTCAGATTGTGCTCAGCGCAACTCCTTCAACTGAGCCAGGTTGTCCACTTGTGTTAGGCCTGATTGGTGATGTTATTGACCTTCGCCCAGGCTGGAAAAGTGTCCAGGTGGAAGAGGCTAACGCCCCAGGTGTTGATGGCCACCATCACTATCACCAGGCCAATGACATTGACTCCCAGGCCAGCTTTCACCTGCAGGACACAAGCCAGCACAGATCCCTAAGTGAGCGCTTCCTGGGCTCCCAGCTAAGCCTTGCTCCACCCAGGTGGCCCTGATTGTTCACTGACTGCCTGGGATGCTCAAGTGTTGCATTATGGGGTGGCACAGGACCGTGGAAGGACCAGAAAAATAGGAGGGATTAGGGCTGGGTGAGGACAATTAGAATCATCTCCACTTCTTGCCTGTAGTCTTCCCTCTAGGAAGTGGAATCCCAGGAAGTCTGTTAGTTATTTAGGATGTTGAGAGTTATTTTTGCAGTGAAATGTGTTAACAAAATTAAACAGCTCTTTAAAGCAGGAACTTCTCAGAGCCTTATGTGCTCATACACACAAGGAACTTGCAGGGGTTATATTATATGAAGGCTTTGCCACTGTTACCTTTTTCCCTCGAGGGAACAACTTAGGGAAGTAAAGTGTCTTGGGTCACCTGGGGCAGCAAGTCAGCTGCCTCTGCTCAGCCCTTTACTAACAGCATCAGGGCCTTTGCTTCTTCCCCTGGGAATTTTACCTTACTGAGTCCAACCTGTATCATTTCTGAACTGTCATTGACACTGACAAGCTGAAGGGTGATGTGAGGGATGATGGGGGCTAAGCCAGGGCCAGCTGGAAAAATGTGTACCGTGAGGACAGCCGGCATCCTTCCAGGGGGTAGCCAGGCACACAGCTTGTAGCTGAAACAGGTCCCCTAGCTGCCAGCAAGTTGGGGAAATTAAAGGGAAAAAACAGATGCTAGGAAATTATACCAAACAAATAAGTAGACATGACCTCTGTACTGCCCTCTGGCTGGAGCCATGGACCCCTCAATCAGGCTGGCTCCCTGGGTCTTTTGGCATGGAGAACAGCCTGTGCTTCTCAACATGTTCTAAGGAGCTAAATTAAGGTCCTTTAGAGCTGAAAGGGACCACAGGGAGAATCTAGTTGGAACCTCCTTAGTTAGCAGATGAGGAAATTAAAGCCTGGAATTAACCCCGCTGGTACTAGAACCCAGGACTGGCTTGCTTCCTGTCATTCAGTGCCTTTGACAAGGACTGTCTCTGATCGCTGGATTCCAGTGTAAATGGCTAGAGGTGAGCAGTGGGGGCACACAACAGAGGAAGCAGAGGCAGAAGAGCTGGGCAGAGTTACGTGAGAAGACTGGGGAGCAGGAATGAGGGACAGCGGTGACTTCCTGTCCTTGAAATAGCACAGATGATATAGATAAGCAACTTGAATCTGCTTCCAGCCTGAAACACTTTCTTCTTTCTCTTCATTTGATATTTTACAGGTCTGCTGAGAACAAGTTTCAACAAGTGAAAAATTTCTTTTTCACCTCAGGGTGACTGGCCTCTCTGTATCCGATGGTCAGGCCTCAGTCATTTCTATCAGTTTGTTTATCCTTTCCCCAACCCCCATCAGCTGGATATTAAGAACAGCAGTGAGTATTGGTTGAGGAGTGGTTGAGTCAGTGGCAAAATGGCTCCTCAAAGTCATTTTTTGTGAGCCCAACTGACAATTAGAAATAAAAAGTGATGCCTTATTTTTTTCATTGTTGCTTTAGTGCTTTCTTACTGGGGAAAGAGTCAAGCAGAAGGATCCTACTCTTACAAAACACATTCACCCTAGATTCATATTTCTTATACTCTATTTTCTGTGAATAAACCAGTGCCTTTTTCCTTCTTTTCTTTCTTTCTTTCTTTTTTTTTTTTTTTTTTTTTTTTTTGTGTGTGTGTGGTGCTGGGGATTTAACCCAGGGCCTTGTGCATGCAAAAGAAGCACTCTACCCCAAACCAGTGGCTTTTTGAATGAATGTCCCCAATAGTCCAATGAAATGGAGAAAGAAGAATGGAGAAATGGAGGCAGAGATTTGTGTAAGCTCATGGCTTCTGGAACTGGGCCACACACAGTGCCTGCACCAGCTTTTTCTATCCATCTGCCCACTTTTCTCCAGAACTGGGGAGAGCACATTATTGCTATTCTTAGAGCTTATGTACCATCCAAGAACCTTTTTATGGGTATCATTCTTTCTACCACAAAGGATAGGATGTTAACAGGTGATAGATACTGCTACAAAAAAAGAAACCTTGGGAGAAGGCCTGCAGCCAGTCTTGCCCACCCTCATGGTGGCTGAACCTGGCGGAAGCAGGCACCTGCAACTCACCATGTCTTTGATCTGGCAGTGCCCATAGCTGAAGACGATGGCATTGGGGGGATTGCCCACAGGCAGCATCACTGCAAAGGAGATGCACATGGTGACTGGGATCAGGGTGTAGAGTGGGTTAATGTGCAGCGTTTCAGACTAGGAGAAGAGAGAATTCACAGAAATGTTAACTTGGACATTAGGCATGCATTTCCTGTGCATGAATTTGTTTTAAATGATGGCACAGTGCAGTCTAGCCTTCACTGGACAGGGCTAGTTGGTTCCCTCCCCTGCAGGGCATGCGCTGCCCTTGGCAACCCAAATTGCTAAAGCTTTGAGGAACTTTCTAGAATGAGTATTTGATTTTTTTAATTTATGCTATTCTAAGGAAGTGGTTCTTAAGCCTTATTATTTAGTTGAAAAATCCTTTCTTCAAACAAAAAAAATCTCATTAATAAGCTGTTTTGATTAAAACAAGTATCCCTCACCCTTGGGGGTATAGTACTGAGGGCTTTTTTTTCTGGGGAGGATAATTGTTTTATTTGGGATTCAAACCCATAGTATTGCTGTCACTGTTGTCAAGTTTTAAATGAGTGCCCTCCCAAGCTCACACACTCAAGGTGATAGAAGAAGTGGGAGACATCTGACCAATGGGCAGAGAGAGTTGACCAATGGGCAGAGGGGAGTTTGGGGTTAGAAGAGCAGGAAGAGGCTATTTTGCTAAGATGGGGAAAAGGCTTCCATTTCCTAGATTTCATCTCCCAGTGTGGACATGCTGCATTGGGTCAAGTTCATTACGTGGCGGTTGCCCTCTATCCCTTTTCCATTCATAACCATTGGTCTGAGGTCATGGAATAAAGGACCTTGCTCCCAATTCTCAGAACCTTCTGGAGGAGTTGGGCAGAGATAGTAATGATCCTGAGAGCTGTGAGCTTGGTTTTTGCAGCTGTGTGTGCTTTGACTCCATTTTCTGTGGTTACCTCTTTGGCCCTACTGCTAGGTTTTTATCTTAGCAGGGAAAGGTTGATGAGGATTGTGGGGAAATGGAATTCTAGGGTTTTAAGATTGTTTTGTCTATTCTTTTCTTTTTTGGCAGTCTGGATAAAACCCAGAGCTTTGTGCATGCTAGGCAAGATTTCTACCACTGAGCTATGTGCCCAGCCCTTTATATTTTATTTTGAGACAGAGTTTTGCTAAACTTGCAATCCTCCTGCCTCAGTTCCCAAGAGCTGAGATGACAGGTGTGCACCACCACACCTGGCTATTTGTCCATCCTCTTTTTTTCATTTTGGGCTGCCCCTAAGTTAATCTTTTGAAAAAGGATTTCCACAGCTCTTACTATGATTTATTAGTGTATCTTTTATTTATTAATTGCTATTTGAAAACTTTTTTTCAAATTTTGGTTTGAATACCAATCAGTGAAAGCTGTTGTGGGCAGTGACCAGAGAAGAAGGTACAGCCACAGAAGCTGCTTCCTGGAGCTGGCTTGCCGTTGCAGGACCATGACAACTGTTTAGACACCTGGGAGCCCTGCTCTACTTACCAGGCTGCACAGGATGGGCAGGAAGATGGTGATGGTGGCTGGGTTGCTCACAAACTCTGTGACAATGGACACCAGGATACATGCCAGCAGGGTGACAGCCCATGGCGGCAGGCTGCTCAAGGATAACATCTGGTGCCCAATCCACGTGGAAAGACCAGAGCTCTGTAAGAAAAGGTGTTAGAGTAAAAAGGAAGGAGGAAAAGCACATTCCAAAGGGGTTCTTAGACTTCAGAGGGTCAGGAGAGCTGGCTGGAAGGAACCACCAGGATTCATCCAATACTATTTTTAATCTGACTGGAGACAGATGCAGTCCTGATTTTATGTTTAGATCATTTCTGTAGCTCAGAAATTTATGATTGTACAGCATTCAGTCTCAATGTCCTGATCAGTCGGCTGTCATGTGGTGTGCACAGCCACATCTCATGCTGTGATCCTTCCTGGGACTTTTTCTCAGCAGGGGTTGGAGATCTTTACCCCTCATCTTTAGCCCCTCAATATCAGTCTCATCCTATCTCCAGCCTCTGGCACCTTCACACCTCAGTGATGCCCTTTGTACAGAGTCCAGATGTAATCCTTTCTTATGCCTTTGGTACTGGGGATTGAACTCATGTGTACTTTACCACTGAGCTACATCCCAAATCTTTAAGTTGCTGAGGCCCTAGAAGAGAATGAAATTATGTCACTTGAAGGAAAAATAGATGGAGCCAGAAACCATCTTGTTAAGTAAAATAAGTCAAACTCAGAAGATTAAGGGTCATATATTTTCTCTTATTATGGAAACCAGAGAGGGGGGAAAAAAAAAGGTAGGGGGGTATTTCATGAAAACCAAAGGGAGATCAGTAGAGGAAAAGGACCAAGGGGTGGGAGGCAGGAAGAGCTGGGGGTGATATTGGACAAATTATATTGTTCTCTTGTGTGCAAGTACAGATGTGTAACAAGAAATCCCATCACTACAACTATAGTGCACCAATAAAAAATGTGAGAGAAAAAGTCTATTTAATGGGGAAGGAGCCTCCTCCCTGGCCTACAGCATAGTCATTAAGCCCCAACTGTTGGGTTCAGTTCCCATGATGGTTGACAAGTACTATCTTGTCGGTATTTTGTGCATACCACAGATATGAAGGCATATTGCTCACTCTGAACCTTTCCCATTAGCAATATTTGTACATATCCATTCAAATAAATGAATATTCCCACTTTGAATGATTCATTGGATTAGAAGATATTCATCTGCCAATGGTATGTCTCCTCTTCTAAAAAATGAAAGCCACCATTAAGCTTTTGAACTAAAAGCCCCCAGGTTGCCATATGCATTCGTTTCTCTTCTGCTCCCTCTTCCTCTCCCTTCTGTGATTGACATGCTCAGGCTCTTGCTGTGGAACCCCAGACTGCCCAGGCAGGAGGGAAATGGAGAGTAGGGACAGAAAGCAAGGCGAGTTGTTTTTATGATTCCTCAAGCTAAAGTCCTGCTACTCAAATGTTACTATGCCTTCACTACACTGTCAGCAAGCCACATTTTCTCCTCTTTCCCCAATTCATCAAAAGCTCATCTGATCTCTATGCTCCCTTACCAGCTCCCTGCAAGCTCACAGACAACTGTGATGAAAGATCTCCAGAATTCTCTGTTGTAACCATCTCACCTTGGAAACTTTTCTTCCTTTTTCTTCCAACTGACTGAGTTACAAACTGAATATGTGAAGACTGCATCAATCAATGGTTGGTACAGCACTTGCAGCTGCAGGAACTCTAATTATTCCCTCTCACAACATTAAACCTCACTCATTGGACAAAGGCAGGGGAGGAAGAGCAGTTAGTTGAGTGGAAATAGTACATTTTGTGAAAAAAAAAAAAAATGGAGTTTTATTTACCAAATCATCCAAATAGTACTCATAAGTAAAGTGACATAATTTAATGGCAATTATTTTTCCAGCAGAACTCTTTCATGCTATAATTTGAAAGAAGTTGATAAATTAGTCTGCAAAGTTAGACAAAACAAAATGAAGGAAGTCTTAATTTTTTAAGCCCCTGGGTATGAGAACATTTCACATTGAATTTTCCTCACTAGTGTCAACTCTGAAATTATTTCAAACTCAGTAGGAGTCACATAGATTGTACCTGAATTACTAAAGTTTAAAAATTGGCAGAATCAAACCTATCCAAATAGGTTTTACAGAAACATCACCTATACTATCAATACATATACAATTTTGATTTAAAAAGAAAGGTCTTGCTAGGCTAGACTCTAGCCAAAACTAACAACTGAAATTCAATAAAGATAAATATAATATCTTATACTTGGAATTAGAAAGGTTGACAGCACATATGCAGGATGGGTTGAAGGAATTCCAGTTTAATAGTGGCTACCAATGGGAAGGATGAAGGGTTGTAGCTGACGGCTATTTCAATATAAACATTGACTTGAGTGCCCAGGAAGCCCTGTAAAAGCTTCTATAAAATTGTAGGCTGGTGCTTACGTCAGAGGTGGGAGATGGGTTTGGTAATATAATAGTCCATTTTGTAGTAGACTGACCACCCTGGGCCATGTCTGAATAGGCCAGGGTAGGTAAACCACAGTGAGTCCTGAGGTGAGAGATTAGGATGGCAGTCTTTTCTGAGAATGGCTAAAAGAGTGAGGGAGTTCTAGTAGGAAAAACAGATTTAAAAACTATCATTTTACTAATTATTACCTAGCATAGGGTTCCAGAGAACAGAGCCAAAACCAACAATGATGATACATGGAGAGTAAAGAACAAAGTGGGATTTAAATAACTGTTCTTCACATAGGGAGTACCCTGTCATTAAGGGTGTCCAGGCCCTGGCATCCTGGAAAGGACTGTCACCTTGCATAGGAGATGGGGCTCAGTGTCCTCTGAGGATCCTTCCCAGTGTAGGATTCTGTGCCCTGGCAGTCACTGATACTCAGAATGCACAAGTGCAAGTGAAACATGTTTAGAATGGGCTCATTCATATGGACAAGGGAGAGAGAGAAACAGTCTGAACCTTAACCCAATTCATTCTTTTTTTTTACACTGCTTTGTTTTGTTTTTGGCACTGGGAATTGAACTCAGGGGTGTTCAACCACTCAGCCACATCCTCAGCCCTTTTTAAAAATTTATTTTATTTAGAGACAGGGTCTTGCTGAGTTGCTTAGGGCCTTGCTGAGTTGCTGAGGCTGGCTTTGATCTCTTGATCCTCCTGCCACAGCCTTCCAAGCTGCTGGGATTACAGGAATGTCCGGCTCCTACATTTTTTTATTGTTGCATTACAGTTGTACATAATGGTGTGATACGTTGTTATATATTTATACCTGCAAACAATATAACAATATAATTTGGCCAGTATTACTCCCCAGCATTTCCCCTCACTCTCTCCACCTCTCATCCATTGGTCCCTTTCCTCTATTGATCTTCCTTTGATTTTCATGTGACCCCCCCCCACACCCTTACCTTTTTATTTTTCTTCTCTAGTTTTTGCATATGAGAGAAAACATATGACCCTTAACCTTCTGAGTTTGACTTATTTCACTTAACATGATGGTCTCTGGTTCTATTTTCCTACAATTGACATAATTTCATTTTTCTCTATGGCTGAATAAAACTCTGTTGTGTATACATGCCACATTTTCTTTATCCATTCATCTGTTGATGGACACCTAGGCTGGTTTCATAGTTTAGCTATTGTGACTTGTGCTGCTATAAATATGTATCACTGTATGAGTTGACTTTCATTCATTAGGGTAAATACTGAGGAGTAGAGTATGGGTCATATGGTTGTTCCATGTCTAGTCTTTTGAGGAGCCTCCACACTGATTTCCATAGCTAACCCAACTCATTCTTAGGACTGTTTTGTATTTCAGAGAAAGCACTTCAGCTCTTTCCCATCACCTCCATTAGAAGGGTCTTATTCCAGACGCTCCCAACTGGGAAACCAAGAAATCTTTACATCAGCTTCAGCAAAGCTTCTCTGAAACGTTCAGTCTATGCTATTGACCCACAGGGACAATCCACTGTATCACTTGGGCTAGTTTCTCAGCCCTTACAGACTCATCTCCTATATCACTGTCAGAGCCCAGGGAATGGCTACAAAATCCAACAAACCTTTTGCTTGTGGCAATGTGGGACCTGCAGAGGAGGTGGCAATACTGGTGTGCCATGACCTGAATCACAGCTGATCTGTAACTGTGTTCCCTGAAGCACTGAGAAGGTCAAGGATGGACAGGACGTCTATCCTGCTCTGTTGCTGTCCATGCCAGTGACTGATACCCACCATCCTCTCCCTCAGCTTCTTTAAGCCTCTTCCCAGGGCTATAATGATTCTCTAGATAAAGCTTCTGGACTCATACTTGACCCTGAAGAGCAGAATTGAGGACTTACCTTGCTGCCAGAAGCCAGGGCATAGCCTCCTCCCACCAGGATGACAATCTCCCAGGGCATGGTTTTCTGGAAGTCCTTCCATGTGATGATGGGCTCAGACTGTAGGGAGGACTCCCGGCTTGTACCTAGATCAAAGGCAGGGAGAGATGGACGTGATTTATGGAGATTTATGGACATGATTTATGAAGATTTAGGGATCTCATGGGTGAATTGGAGGATTTGGGAAATGGCTGTACCGCTTTGTCGGGAGTCTGAAGGGCCTTGGCAAGCCTCCTTTGAATCATTCTTACTTGGGTGTTCTTTGACTAAAGCCATCCCCAGCTTCTCCCCCTGAATATTCCCTTACCGTCATTGTTTTTCCCAAAGCAGGGCTTCTTTGCTGGAATGAGGAAGAGGAGGAAGCCAAGGAAGACAGAGACTGTTGCATCAGTGCGGAAGCCTTTCCTAGCAAAGACACAAGCATGGCTGGAGGAGGGGTTGGGAATCCTCTGAAGTATTATGAATAAGAAAGTCTGTCTGAACACGGTGCCTCTCTTTAGGACAGTCTAGAGATGACAGCAACCTGACTTCTTGCCAGTTGCTGGCAAGCTGTGCCACAGCGGATTCATAGTTCATGGTTACTGTCTGGAGGCCGTGCCTGGCTGGGCGAGATGTGTTAGTGTAAACTCATGGGCCCTTAGTTGGGGTGAGTCCTAGAAGTGATCAGGAGCCGTTGGATAAGGAAGAACAGAAAAGGCTGAGTCTTCTTTCCTGTGGGGCCACAGCTCCACCATGGTCTACCTGTGACCCTCCTCAAATGAGAAGTTGGTACTTGGAGACCTTGGGGCCTGTGGCTGGTCTTGGCCCTCAGAGGTCCTGGCATGGGATCCTGTGTGAACCTCTCCTTCCTCCCACAGGCTTCAGCCTCTCTGTAGTGCAGTCTCTTTACAGTTGGCACTTTTTAGACAGTGTCTAACACTTTGTGTGACAGCTGAAGGTCAGAGAGCCCATGTGAGAAGACGAAGGTCATACAGCTGGTGAGTAGTGGCTGCACCCCAAGCCCAGACTGGGATTCGAAATACTGTTTTCTCCTGACTCCACACTGCTGCTTCCCTAGAGGGAGCAGGTTTCTCAGGGAATGAAAAGCTCTCTGGTCTCATATCTCATGTCTGCCCCTAAGAGCTGTGATGGACCCCAGCGGTCACTGCCAGAGGAAACTGGGTGAGGGATTGGTTCTTCAGGAAGAAACATCACTACTTACTTTTCAAAGAAGGAGTCCCAGCCAGGGACAAAACCAGGCTCCCGGGTAAACCACAGTACGGTCATCAGGATGAAGAAAAATCCAGTCACCATTTCAGGGTAGCTATAAAATCAAACAGAATGAGCCACTCCAGGAACTGGGGAGTTTGGTTTAGTTGTTGTTGTTGTTTTGCTTTTGGAAACTCCTATTCAGAGTTGCAATACTCAAGGCATAAAACATAGTCACTGCTTGCCACTAGAAAGGCTGGCAGTGACGCAGGAAGAAGACCAATCAAGCAATGCTAAAAAATAAACAGGAAGTTCACCACGTGTCCTAGAGAAATTTAGGTGGGAAGGGAGAGACTTCAGCACTACCCATTTATGAAAATAATTTTACCTACACCCTACAAAGAGAGGGTATCGAAATGGGCATTGGACACTGTGCTAGCAGGAATTGAAATGGGTACAACATTTTTGAGGTCATTTGACCTCAAAGTATAGACATCAGGAGCCTTAAGTTTGGTCCTTCCCTTCATCTCAGACAGTAACAAGAAATGCTCACCGAAATATTACCTATTAAAAAAGAGAAACAAGCATTTTGTTTATCCAATGATCTCCTGTTGACACTGAATGCATTTTGGTACAACTGTGTGTTAAAATGAGATGCATCCGCTAATCATCATGTTTCCACAACAGAATTCATGACGTGGGGACATAGTCATAGTACAATGAAAAGTGAGAAAAGGCAAAATATGCAGGTATGTTCAGTATGAATTTTACCAAAAATACATGTACTGTTGCACAAAAAAGTATGGAAAGAAATTTAAAAAAATTTTTTTTAGTTGTTGATAGATCTTTATTTTTTTAATTATTTATACATGGTGCTGAGAATTGAACCCAGTGCCTTACACATACCAGGCAAGTGCGCTACCACTAAGCCACAGCCACAGCCCCTGAAAAGAAATATTAACAGTTGTTTATACTTCCTGTGTTTTATAAATGTTCTACGGTGAACATGTATTCCTTTTATAACTTAAAGCTTTAAAAATAGTTCTCCCTGAATTGTTTACCCAAAGTTGTACATGCCAATAGCTATAAGAGGAGAAATAGCATTAGTTAGAATGCTGGGTCACTGTAGAAATGCTGATAGAAGTGGCTGAGCATTGGTTAGTGATTTCTTAAAACTTCTCTTTAATGCTGCCTTATTCTCTAAATAGCACCAAGCCTCCCAGTTCCCTAGGAGTGGTCACTGGCTCACTGCGGTGGCCCACTTGATCAGTGTGAGGAGTCCTAGTTTGGGAGGGGATTTGGCATGTTCCAAGACTGCCCTGTGCCATAAGTTCTGTTGCTCTTTCCCCAGCTGCCTTGTCTGCGACACTCCACCCCCACACCACAGCTATACCTTGGACTCCAAATATAGCCAAAGGGAAGGGTGTCACTGCAGTCTGGGAAAGCTTGGCCTGGGCATTAAGTAGCATTTCAATGCCTGGATTCATAGATGTGGGAAACTCGCCCAATGTCAGGAACAAGGCTGTTTTGTGCTTCACTTTACTCGCTGTGTTTCTGTCCTGGACAAGGAAACAAGGGCAGTGGCTGAGGTTTTACCTGATGTCTCCCAGCTTTTCATATTCCTCTTGGATTCTCTTCTCTGACAACTCTTCCCTTTTGGTCTTCTTCTTCTTGCTCAGAGAACAGGTCTCTTTAAAGCTGAGAGGGGGAAAATGAGCAAAAGAGAAAACATACTTCTGAGACCCAGAGGAAATCAGATATCAAACAGTTACCAAACCACCAGTTTGCTGGGATGGCCTTTCTCCCCGCTCACGTGCACTGTCCTTCTGTTCATACAGCTTCTGTCTGCCTGGTTCCCCAGCCTTGCACCAGCCTCCCCCAGCCTCTTGGGTATGTCCATCTGGGCACAGCTCTGGTGTGTCTTATGCATCTGTGCAGGAGCATTTACATGTGGTTGTTTCTACATACTCATACATAAGGAAAAGAATCAGTGTGATTTGGTATGTATGTCTGCATGTGTGTGTGTCCATGTGTCCCACATGCACAGGTGTGTGTGTATGTGTGTGTGTGTGTGCATGTGTGCATTTATTTGTCTAGAGACAAGGCTTGTCTGGGGGAAAAATGGATGTGAATTTTATATGATACTATTGGAGTTACAGAAGTATACAGCCATCAGTGGTTTGACGACAGTCTCTGAGTAAAAAGAGAAGTCAGCTCTGAGAATATCCCTTGACCAGTGGAGTGTTGGGCTTCGTGGACTCTTAGCAAAACATCATATGTATCTTCCCTTTATGTGTTTGAAACTTTTCAAACTTGGAAAAGATAATTATGAAGAAAAGGATTACTAAGCAGATTAATATTAGAAATAATACTGTAAGAGACAAATCTAACTTGTTATTTTGAAGGATCTGTGCATGTTCCATATGACTCCCCCTATAAAATCAAACCAAAGGAAACTTCTACTTGGAGTCATATTTCTTTTTTTTTAATATTTATTTTTTAGTTGTAGTTGGACACAATACCTTTATTTTTATATATTTTTATGTGGTGCTGAGGATTGAATCTAGGGCCTTGCACATGCTAGACGAGCGCTCTACTGCTGAGCCACAACCCCAGCCCTGGAATCATATTTCTAAAGAGTACTTGGAATAAATCTATATTCTTTGAGAGCAATGAAACTACATTAAACACTCTCCAATTCATACTTTTAATAATTAGTTGAAATTAAGGACATTTTACTTTAGAACAGAGAGTCATATAAGTCTAGAGCTTCTAGAGGAGACAAGATCTGGCTCCCAATGTGGTCCACTGCCTTCTCCTCAGGCATCCTGTTGGTTACTCCCTGCTTTGGGCACAGCCTTCCAGCAGTGCTTTGCTGGCAGGGCCTTGAGACTCACTTGCAGCCCAGGAACAGCCAATGCATCCAGAACCAGCTGACAACCAGCATGATGAGGGATATGGGGAAGCTGAAGAGGAACCAGGTGCCAAAGTTGACCACCTCTGCAGCTGGGTACTGGCTGGAGGGTAAAGACCATGTCAACAATTAGAAGAGCAAGGGTTTCCGAATGATATTGGGGGTTGACAGCTAAATACTCCCTAAGAACACACACAGCTGGGTAAGAGGAGAGTTAATGATTACAATATGATGACTCTACCTAGAAGTAATTAATTTGTTTGTTGCAATTGTACAAGAAGAAAGACAAGAAGAAAGAAGTAAGCCTAATACACACACACACACACACACACACACATTTAAGAAACTAAAATCAATTCCACTGAAGTACATATCTTCTCCTGAGTACACTCAGAATTACTCAGGACCTGTTTGCCCTTAATTTACATAATGGTTTTGAGAAGTTGAACTCCTGGTTTTCAAGACCACAGAATGGAGAGGAAAGACGGTGCACTTTGTCATAAAGCCACTTGAGAATTATAAGTGTTGATGGGGGAGCGGTGGGGTGATACACTGCAGCCAATTCTAGATCACTGTGGGCTCTGGGACCTCATAAGGGTTCAAGGTATGGATGGTGCCCATCAAAGAACCAGGACTTGGAACCTCTAAGCACATACATACGTCAGCAAAATAAAAGGTGGGTGATCTGCTCACATGCCAAGAAAAACAGCCTGGAAGAACTGGGCTTGGTTCCTGCAGGGTCAGGTCTTCATTTTAATTTGTCTTTCCTCCCTCCTTCCACGCTTCCTCCCTCCCTCCTTCCATCCTTCGTCCCTCCCTCCTTCTCTCTCCCTCTCCATCCTCTCCCTTCTTTTCTTCCTTCTCCTTCCTGCCAGAAGGAAAGTCGGGCTCCTCCTGTGGTCCATGATCAGCTGGGCTCAGCTCTGGATCCCATCCCTGGTGGCATCACTGTCCATTACCCTTCTCCCCCATACTCCATTTCCCTCTCATCTGGATCGTCCTGACCAGAGTCCAGTGTCTTCCATCTTCAGACCTCTCCTTCTCTCTCCTTCCCTCTCTGCCATCACCCTACACCCCTCCTTCCCTCAGCCAGCTCTCCATTCCCTCACTTCCTTCTTACTCCTCAAGGCACCAAGATCTGGCCTCTTTTACCACCACTTGACCAAACCCCTCTCACGTGGGCTACCTGTAGCCACCATGTCCCCAAACACAAGGGCTGCATTTTTACCCCTATTTTGTGTCATCCTTCATTAACAGGAAATATTGTAGCCACTCCTTGAAACACTTTCCTCCTGGGTAGAATGACACAGCTCTTCCTGGATTTCCCCTCTCCTGTCCCCTGCTCTCCCTGTCACAGTGTAAGTCCTATGGTTTCCATCACCAGGGGCAGATGAAAAGGTGGGCCTCTTGCTCAAAGATTATCAAGAGTTTCTAGAGGGACAGCCAGCATTAAACCAAGCATAAGGCCACTCAGAGCACAGTGGCTTGGGTCACCAAACAGGCTGCTCATGCATGGTGCCAGCCTGCAGGCCGCGAACTCCAAATCTATTCAGCCAGAAAATTCTCTTGAGATTCAGAGTCATGCCCCCAACATCACACCTCAGCCTCTGCCAGCTTCTCCATTCTCATCTTTTCTCTCCAGTCCCCCCGCTGCTGAAACCAGAGGGCTGAGAGTCAGGCGTGGCCCTCCCTCCCAGGCTCCCCATGATGCTACCAACACCCGTCCAGTTATCTCTCTGTATCTCTAAGATCTGACTTTCTCCTACCTGCTGCCAGTGTTATCCAAGGCTACCAAAGCTATCTCTTGGACAATGGCAGCAGTGTCCTAAACTATCCTGTTTTCTCCTTTCCAATCTGTTCTCCATTTTTCACACAGCATGAGTTCTCAAAACTATAAACCTGGTCACCTCTCTCCCTGCTTAGCTCTCCTTAAAGGGTTCTCACACCCTTTCCGGCTGATATCCAAGCTCCTTCTTAGCCCTTTGTCTCTGCCCATCTTCCTGCCTGGTCTCCTTTGCTCCGTCATTTACTTTTTTTTTTTTTTAACCATTTTAATTTTTTTGTTTTAATTAGTTATACATGACAGTAGAATTGATTTATGCACTTTGATATATCATACATAGAGGGGATATAATTTCTCATTTTTCTTATTGTACATGTAGAATCGTTTTGGTCATGTAGTCACGTATATACATACAGTAATAATGCCTGTTTCGTTCTGCTATCTTTTCTCCCCCCACATCCACTCCCCTCCCCTCCTAATCTAAGGTAACACTATCTTCTCTAGTGCCCCCTGCCTTATTGTGAATAACATCCACATATTAGAGAAAACATTCGGCCTTTGGTTTTTATGTGCTCTTCTCTCCTGCCTCGGAGCCTCTTCCATGCTGTGTTCTTTGTGGGAAATCGCCCTTCATTTGGTGTGCTATGGCTCAGCCTTCAGGTGGCCATTTGTTGTCACCTCTGTGGGGAGGCACTTCCTCCTTGCAGAGCTGGTGAGCTCTCCTAGCAGAATCCCGGCTTCCCTGGTCATACTCAACTGCAGCAACTTGACGGTCTCTTTCCCTCTTGACTTCTGCCAGCACCTGGGCCAGTTCCTGACACCCAGTGGGTGGTTAGTAAGTATTGGTTGACTGAGTGAATGACTTACTTGTTGAAGTGTTCCAGGAATATGAGGCTGGTGGAGGTGCCAATGATGGTGGTCAGGCCGCCTATGGTCGCAGCGTAGGAAATGCTCAGAGAGAGGCACTTGCAGATCATTTGGTCATGCTGGGACCTGTACTTTCTGTTCAACTTCTGATTCCTGGGGCTGGGGGTCAGGCCAAGTGGCTTTTCCTACCAAAGGAAAATCAGTGAGTATCTGCACCAGCTTGGGCTGTCTAGCACACAAAGCCTGACAGGCAGGAGGCACCTGGTATAGCAGAAAGGTTTTGAGCTTTGGAATCAGAAAATGAATCCCAGTTTCTATCATTGCCAGCCTGGACATGCCTCTGGGCTGCAATTTCTTCTTCGGTACAATGGGAAAAATCATATTTTCTCTGCCACATTGTTGTGAGGAGTAAATGAACTAAATGAAATATATATATAAGTCTGTGTGTATGTGTGTGTATATATGTATATATATATACATATATATATATGTGTGTGTGTGTGTGTGTATGTATGTATATGTATATATATATATATATATATATATATATATATATATATATCACTTTGGATATATATATCCAAGGAAAGTTAAGCAGGGAGTGAGGTGACCAGGTTTATAGTGATCTAAGTGACCACTTAGATCACTTCCTGATATTTAATGATCGTTAAGCTATTATGATTTTGTGTAGTTATTAATGTTATGAATACTGAGAGCATGCTTGTGGTTTTGTTTTTGTTCACTTAACTCCAGTAAAGCTAGTTGCTCTCCACATTGTGTTAGAACCAACAGAAGACGGTTATTCTGTGTGGAGTAGAGTGATAGTCCTGATGAAAACCTAGCTTCCGTGGGACGAGGTTTGAAGTGTGGGACTCCTCCCTGTCTGCCTCACTCTTTCCTCTCTACCTTCTCCTCCCCACATTGCCTATAAGCCTCATCCTTGCCATGGTCCTCTCAGGCTCTGCTTGGTCCAGATAAGGGCTTTTCAGGTCACAGAGGTGATCTCTGGTTTCAAGTGCACTAAAGAAAAAAGAGTCCCCTCCCTGCTCAACACTTGGTCACCCTCCCTGATTCTTCATGAGACTCGGAGAAGCCTGGTGAAGATGTCAGCAGGTCGGGTTATAAGAAAACCAGTGGGGAAGAGGCTGCCTTGCCATGTTTCTCATGGCCCTTAACCATTGCCCTCTCCTCCAAGGAGAGCCACAGGGAGGCTGGGCCCTTCCAAACCTCTGAAAGACTCACTGGTTATCAGAGCTGGAAGGCCCGCTTAGATTCTCCGGTTCAGGGAGTTTGCAGGATGATATATTACACATAAACCCAATTTATCAAACATAAAAGCAGTTCATTGGCATAGATTGATTTGGTAACAGTCAGGGACACCTGGATTTGAATCAAGATGCTGCTGTCTCAAGCTCTCGGGCCTTGGGTTATGATTTCATCATTCTGTCTCATTTGCAGAAACATGGAGTTCAAAATCACTGCTTCACTGAGCCAAGACTGGGGAGAAAATGCTTGGTACATAATCAGTACATCATAAACGGTGGCAGTTATTTATGATGATGATGGATGTTAACTAATCAAGACTGTTTGGATGAACACAAAAATTTGAAATCAAGGTTGTGACAGTAGCCAATTTTTACTAGTTTTTACATTCATTTGGTATACAATTCATTTGTGGTATAGAACCAGGAAAGCCCTCACTTGTGCAGAAAAGCAGTTGCTTTAGTATCTCAGGATACTAAAACAAAGTATTTGCAGTGTCCCTGAAGCACCTTTGAGCACCTATGGTAGACCAACCATCAGCATTTGCAGTTGGGAAGCCTGGGCCCAGGTAGTGGGAGGCCTTGATGGAGCCGTGTGGACCAGGCGCTTCACTGTCATGGTGCACAAAGGCCAGACATTGGTGACAGCTCATGAGCCTGAAGCCTTCACAGCCCCAGGACAAGTGCCATTGGGGAGCTCCAGGTATTGTGGGTAGGAAATAGAAGGTGGGATTCTGTTACCTGGGATGGCTGCTTCTTGTCTTGGCGTTGGTTTGCTGTTCTGAGGGGGTTGGTGATTGTGGGCACACCATTCAGGTTCTGTTGGGACAAAACCCATCACACTATTAGGAAGAGGACGTGGTGAGGCAAATGCCTGAAGAAGTATTCCTAGCCATCCCAGGGTCCCCCCACACCCCGGCACCATGGGAATTGGGGACCAGATGTCAGGGAGGATGTGCACCTCACCAGGCCCATCTCCAGCCATCTTCACAGCTTCCCATCCCACCAGCATCAGGCACCCCACGTGAAGAGGCTTTCACGACCTGGCAGACATGGCTGTGTCCTTCAGGAGAGCCTGACTTTCTGGGACTTCATTAGCTAATGAAGAACTTCTTAGAATTTATTTATATATTGAATTATATATATAAATTGAGAGATATATATATATATTCTTCATACTTGCATTATTTTGTTTTTTATTTTTATTTATTTATTTATATTTTTAGTATTTTTTAATAGAAAGAAAAAAATTAAATCCCACCACAAGAAGTCCACAGTTTTATCAGCCATTTGTGCTCCTCATGAACATCCATAAAACTGGCTTTTGGGGGTGGGGGCTGAGTTTGAGCAGCAGTGTACAAGTAAGCACTGCTCTCCTCTATAAATGTACCCCTTTATGTAATAGGACGTTATAAATGGAAGCCCCTCAGAAAAATCCTAAGGTTGAATTATTGGCTCTTGAAATCTGGATGGTTTTCATGAAAATTTTAAACTAGGGTTGGGTTGTGGCTCAGTGGTAGCGTGCTGTCTAGCACTTGTGAGGCACTAGGTTCGATTCTCAATTTTTTTAAAATGGTTAAACTGTATTTTATGTGGCTAAACTAGTACTCAGGGCTGGGGCTTGGACTATCCAGGACTTTGCCACAAGCTTGACTGGCTCTTATATCCAACCTGTGTGACAACCTTTTTGCCCTTATGTCCCTGGAGGCTGCTGGGATACAGGATAAGCTGACAGGTGTCTTGATGCCTAAGTTACCTTGAGGGACCTTCAGGTAATCTCAAAGCACAGAAAAAACACAAGGCCATACCTTGTTTTGCATCAGAGAAGTGAAGTCTGCAGCTGACGTGCTAGAAAGAAGCAAACGGAAACCATAGTGGGCCATATTTCGTTATACAGGAGTTCTCTTCCCCATGTCGGGGTTTGATGTGAGGGACTTGACTGTGGACTCCAGTTTTCTAGCCGAATCGTCCTTGCCTTCTGAGATGCTGCAGGGGGTACTGTAAGATTCGTGCAGCCAGAGCCTGCTTCCCCCCCGAGGGCAGAGGCAGTGTGCTTTCTTTGGAGTAATACTAACACTAGTAAAGTTATGAACATGCAGTGCTTGTCAGGTGCGAAGCACTTCACTGTAGACATTATTCCTTGTGACACCATTAGTCCTCACAACAGATCCTTGGCACAGGTGTCACTACCTGCATTTGCATCACTACTTAGCACTGGGATGTGAGTGGTGTAAAGACAGCTCCTAATCCCCTGTCACCTGATTTTTCTCTCCTCTTAAGACAGAAGCCTCTCCCTATCTCACAGGGAGCCTGTGCCCTGACCACATCCTTACTGGCTGACTTGGGAAAGGCCACTATCTAAAAGGAGAGACTTGTGGTATGTTTATCTGAGGCAACAGGAGCTGGGAGGGCCTGGCTGTATCCAGGGAAAAGCAAGTGAGAATGAGAAGATGGGGGGAAGATTTCTGATCACACTGCACATACTGAGTCCCCTGTGGGAACTGTGGATCAGCCAGCCTTTGCCAGAACACAGAGGAAGATGAGGACCATCAGAATTACTGACTCTCTGAGTCCTCGATGAGTGTTTCCAGTTTGTGAGGACAGTGGGTGCCACCAGCTCACCGACTATGAAGCCAGATGAGAACACTGGGCACACACATGCAGGACATGATGTCCTGCGCCACCACCCATCTCAGGCTCTCACAGGGAAGGAGAGGAGGTGACGGAGGTTTGGAATGATGCATTCTTTGGAAAACGTGCCATTGTGTTTCCCTCCCTTCTCCCTAAACTGGCTGTTGAGGGCAGGCAAGGACTTCTTTAGACTACAGGAGAGGCTCTGCCATGCGAGAAGACTGCCAAACAGCCTTAGCATCCACAGCACAGAGCATGCTAGGAGAGGTCAAATTGAGCTTTCACTTTGGAATTTGGGGACACAATTGTACATGGAAAAAGCAAACAAGTCGGTGCAAAAGGGCAGACAGGCCAGACTGAAGAGAAAAGACCCACCTTCACTAGAGCAGTCTGAGCTCTCAGTTCTACAGGGCAGCCTGCTGCTGAATCCTTTGGGAGCAGGGACATATGGAAGGAAGCTGGGCAGGTGCCCGCTGGAAAAGGCAGAGGCAGCCCAAGAACCAAGGGGCTGCAGGGGAGTGAGTGAACCAAGGAGGGGAGCAGTGGTCATCCAGCAGCAGTCCAGGCTCAAGGGGATGAACTCCTGAAGGTGGGAGCCCCACAGTGAAAGAGGAAGGTGTGAATCTCAGAGAGGGCATCAACCCCAGGCTGCCCTGGCTCCAGCCCAGACCCTCTGTGCCTGCACCCTTCAGCCTCTGCCCCAGCCCAGGAGAAGTCAGAAGCAGGAGAGTGACAGGGAGCAGGGGAGGAGAAGATCAACTCCCTCCCCAACTGGCTTTCAGCTCTTCTGCAAGCTGGGCCTGGACACAAGGGACGGGGGGTGGGGGGAGCTGTGGACCAGAGACTGCAGTTTTGATAAGAATCTGACCAGACTGCTGAGCATCTGAAAATGAGATCACTGTATCTAAAAGCCAGAAGAGGGAAATGGTGGGGGAGGGAAAGCCAATGGGCTATGACTGAGGCAGTGGAAGAGAAAAACAAAACCGTTTTCTGTTGGTATCCTCTGTCATCTATCCCATTATGCTAATTTCACACAATGTGAGATTTTGATTTTTTTATGAAAAGGGCAAATTACAAAGCCCAGCTCCCTTACAAATCCAGATTTTAAATGTGTAATATTTGTCACAGAATACCTTGAAGATGACATTTTCATACAGCATCTCCAAAAGAAATAAGTTGTTAATGGATCTATTTCCCATAAATGTTTGGCTAAATTTTTTCTTTTCCCACATTTCCTTTTCTACCATTACAGGGCTGTGTCACCAACTGGCTCCTAATCCCCTGTCACCTAATTTTTCTCTGCCATATCTAAGATCAAATTTAGTAAGACTACATCTAATATCTATAAAATATTCTGTGATTCTCCAAGAACCTCTAGTAACATCTATTGTATGTTTTTCCATTAAAAAATATTCTTCTAAGAGGACATCAATTTAGGTGAAATTGTACCTGGTGGCTGGATTGACAGTTCCTATATCCACTCAGATTCAGTATTGGTCTTTCTATTTCTTCTCCATCACTGCAGTATTCTGGGGTTAAGGGAATTGCCCTACAGATCTTGGCGAGTGACTCTTGAGGGATGGAGAGAAGATGGTGAACTTGGCTTAGACATCTAAAAGAGCTATTTATAGTCGCATCTTTCCTGACCTCTCCAATGGGAAACACAAGGCTCTGTCTGGGGAGAGGACAGTCATACTCACTCTTCATTGACAAAGATGAGTTCCAGAGATGGTTGGCTGTTTACATCGAGACCTACAGGGGCAAAGAAATGTGAGAAATGAGATGTGGTGCTGAGCTGACACCTGGGTGGAAGAGCAGCCAGGGATTGGGCTGGGCAGGGGGTGTTCTGGGTGACGATCCCCCTTCTCTCTGCTCTGATACAGTGGAGCTCATAGACAGAGACAAGGCCCTCGGCTTTGTAGTAACTCCTGAGCGTCTTGGGGGAAAGAGCAGAGGGGGATGCCCATAAGTGAAGGAGGAAGGAAGAGCTGGCGGGGGGTGGGGATCAGGGAAGCTCCAGGTTATAAGAGCTGGTGTGGAAGAGAGGGAAAGTGGAAATGAGAGGGTTATGGGGACAGGCACCAAGCTGGGCAATATCATGAGAGAAGACCGGCAGGGCACCCCGGGGGGAGGCTGGGGGAGCAGAGAGGAGATGAACTCCAGCAAACCGTACTGATGGGCTCGGCCTCTTCGGCGCTGGAGTTGCCCGCCACGAGCTGCTCCTCCTCGGCACTGACCAGCTCCTGCAGCACGGCCTCCACGATGGGCATCACCATGGCCGTGGTGGAGGTGTTGGAGAGCCACATGGACAGCAGCGTGGTGCAGCACATGAAGCAGAGCAGCAGCCTGGAAGGCAGGGTGGCCGGCAGGGCGTTAGCAGAGTGCCCATCTCCCCGGCCAATGGCAGATCCCGCAGAAACCCCCTGGGGCCTCCTCCCTACCTGGTCTAGAATCTGTAGCAGGCTTTTACCCACCGGGCCATTCAGCTTTGTACTCCTAGTGCTTGGCACTGAATGAGCCTTAATTTCATTATTTGTCACATGAATGAATCACACTTCATGGGCTAGTGACCTTAGTCAGGAAAAAGCCCTTACTTAAGCAAAGTAAGCTCACATAGCTTTGGTAGAAGGTCACAGGGTGTGGACCTACTGTTTGCTCTTCTCTCCGTGTGGATATTATGTGGAGCTTAGCAATGTGTTTCCTGTGTATAAGGGAATTCTTGATCTGTTTCTGGTGGTGCTGGGGATTGAGCCCAGGGGTGCTTTACCATTGAGCTGCACCCCAGCTCTTTATATACACAGGGTCTCAATTCAAGGTTGCCCTTGAATTTAGAATTCTCCTCCTCAGCCTCCTGAGTTGCTGGGATTACAAGTGTGTACCTGGCAAGGGAAATCTTCTGCCCTTGTAGCCAGCAATTCTGTGTACCATTGTATTTCCTACTTTGCAGCCAAGTCACCATAGTTGTTACCAAATAGAGACTAATGTTAGGGGCTCACAGTTTGCCCACTACACATCCCACTGTCAACATGCTAAAAGTGTGGCCCCAAAGTCACAGCAGTATTCCATACCACTGTGTGAACTCTTTCATCTGGTATCTAAAAGAGTCAACACTTGGAGGAAAACACTAATGAAGATAACCTTCAAATGCTTTCTCTTTGACTTTGAAACACTGTGCAATGTGCCCAATATCACCTGTGTTTGCGATTTTAGGTGGAATCATCGACTTCACACAAATTCGGGAAGTACACTTGTCATGTGATTGTGACAAAACAGGGGCCTATCCTGGGGGTGCTCTGTTTAGGCTGACAGCAACATGAGTTTTCTGGCCTGCACATGCCCTGGCAACTGGGTGAAGACTGAGCAGGGTGGGAATGTGCTAGGTGATGTGGTATGAGGGAAGAGTGGAAACACAAGTGGACAAAAATTCTTGAAGACAGTACACAGAGGTTTCCCAAAGCCACAGAGTCCCATCCCACCATGATGTGGGGGAACAGTGTCATGGGCCTAGGAGATGGAATGTAGGGACAAGATAGCTGGGGAGGGGCAGTTAGCAGTCCCAGTTGATGATCTACGAGACAGGAGCATATGCGTAAGCAAAGCCTATGTGTCTAAGGGACTGATTTTGAAAAGTAATGATATAAATGATCTATTTCTATGCCCACTCCCAAGAGTCAGTACACCTTCCATGACATGTAATAGTTGTAAACCAGAAGAAGCAAGAAGGGCTGACACAGGAAGGTGCCCAGGGCAGCAGGAGGGAGGCTTCCCCAAAGCACCAACTGCGACATTCCCATGCATGCCTCCAGGGGCCAGTCTCTCCCACGTGGCCTTCTTGACACAGTGGAAAGAGGAAGCAGCTGAGAGCTTCATCAATGCAACATGTCTAATGCGTCTGCTCTGAAGCCATAACAAAAACTGGTGGGCGGATGGGAGAAAACATCCACAGTTCCTTAAATGACAGAGAGGACGCCCACTTCCTCCTCCAGCCTGCTCCCTGATAGACAGAGAAAGGTTGGCCCCTGTATTACCTAATGAGCCCCTTGTGTGTTTTAACCCGCTACCTTTGCAGTCTAGGTTACCAGGTAAGTTCTCTGGGTTCTGCTGACAGTGACACCAGGGTCACTGATTCAAATCTATATTCCACGGCCACAGGAACTCTCATTGATAGGGGATGGGAGCCCCACAACTCTAGTATTACCCTATCCCCATGAGAGAACGACAAGCTACCGCGAATGTCCCACTGCGACCTGACAGGCTGGACGTACTAGGTGTCCCGAGTACGACTCACATGCCTGGCTTGGCTCCGGCCATCAAGACCATGCGCAGGGCGATTCTTTTGTGCAGGTTCCACTTCTCCACGGCGGCCGCCACGCAGATGACACCCACCAGCAGCAGAGTGGTGTTCTTGAAATACTCGGCTGCCACCTGCGGGGAGGCCCAGGCAGGTCAGCTACTCTCCCAGACCCAAGGCCTGGCCAGCGGGGAGAACAGGTAGTGCCCCAACTCCTTCATGGGCAGAGGCTGGCAAAGAGCCAGCAGGGAGGGGAGCGTCATCAAATAGCTTTTCTTGTGGTGCTGGGGGTTGAACCCAGGGCCTTGTGCAAGCTGGGCAAGTGCTCTACCACTGAGCTACACCACCAGCTGAGATAGCTGATTACTTTAGAACAATACCTGCCCAGCACATACCAGGCAGTCTCTGTGTGAGCACTTTACAAAGATGATTTCATTTAACCCATCCGATAAACCCATGGGTAGATATTGACCTCACGGCACTTGGCCACAGAGCCACATCCCCAGCCCTATTTTGAATTTTATTTAGAGACAGGGTCTCACTGAGTTGCTTAGCGCCCCACTGTTGCTGAGGCCTGCTGCCTCATTCTCCTGAGACTCTGGGGTACAGGCATGCGCCACCACACCAGCTTCCCAACTTTTTAAAACATAATATTTGTATTTAAATTTGATGTGAATATGATTTTAAAGAATAAACACATGGATAATTTTATTTTACTCTTTAAAAATTATTAAAATAAACTTAGGTTTATATCCAAATCTCATGTTTAATGTTTTTAAAAATATTCAGAAAATTATTTTCCTATTTATAGGAAAAAGAATACATGCTCAGTATGGAAAACCTCAAAATATAGAAAAATTATTCTCCTTTTGTTAATAACTTAGTATTTTCCCCTCAATTCTTTTTTTCCCTATAGCTATGTAGATACATAAATGGATTTTCACATTATGAAAGGTATATACATTGCCTTTTTTTCCCATTTAATATTATACCCTGATCATTTTCTTTATTTTTTTTCCTGATCATTTTCTTATAATATTTAAATTTATTGGGAAAGTTTGTTTTAATGGCAACATAATTTACCACGGAATTTATTTAGTCATTTTCCTTTTGTTGAATATTCATTTGTGCTACAATGGAGCAAAGAATGATCTTCTGACATTATTACCCCATGTAAAAATATGACTACGCAATCAGTGGGATTTTATATCATGTACAACCAGAAGAATGAGAAATTATACTCCATTTATGTATGATGTGTCGTAGTGCGCTCTACTGTCATGTATAACTAATTAGAATTTAAAATATTTAAAAAAAAGAATGATCTTCTGCATAAAATATCCTTATGTAAATGTGATTGTTTCTCCTGGATAGACTCCCCCCTGCCCTTCAGTACTGGGGATTGTCCTCAGGGCTTTGGGCATGCTGGACAAGTGCTCGACCACTGAGCTACATCTCCAGCATCCCCTTTTTTATATATATTTTTACTAGTTTTGATGAATTTTTAAATTTTATTTATTTATTTGTATGTGGTGCTGAGAATTGAACCCAGTGCCTCACACATGCAAGGCAAGCGCTCTACTACTGAGCCACAACCCCAGCCCCTTCAGCCCTTTTTATTTCTTATTTTGAGACAGGGTCTTGCTGAGTTGCCAAGGCAGGCTTAGAACTTGTGATCCTCCTGCCTCAGTCTCCCAAGTTATTGGGATTAGAGGCGTGCACCACCACGCCCACTAGGAGTTATTGAAGGTGTTTTTATAATTTGCCTTAATTTTTTGTATATACATTTTAATGAATAAGAGAAAGCATTGCCAAATAAGGAAGAAAATTATAGATGATAAAAAGGGAAGAAAAGAAACATTGGATTATATGTAGTTGCCAGAATCTTGCTTCTAAAAGGGAGCACAAGGACACTCTCTGTCCAGTGTTTTGCTGAGACCTGAGAGATGGACCTAAGCATGCCTTATGCACCTAGGAAAGGGCACCCTCGGGGAGGGAGAGGCAAGTCTAACAGCTCCCTATGGACACTTAGTTCCACACACCATAGGGCACTTGGGGCAACATTTGAACTGGTGTTTTGTACTTGTTCTGTTGTTTGGTCAATTTTTTTTTTTAATTTCTTACTTTTCAACTCAGTTTTGCACTGCTAATGCCTAAGGACCTTTCTTTATCTCTCTCTCTCTCTCTCTCTCTCTGGTACTGGAGATTAAATCCAGGGGCACTCGACCACTGGGCCACATCCCAGCCCTATTTTGTATTTCATTTAGAGACAGGGTCTCTCTGAGTTGCTGAGACCCTTTGCTGAGGCTGGCTTTGTACTCATGATCCTCCTGCCTCAGTCTCTGGAGCCGCTGGGATTACAGGCTTGAGCAACCACCGCGGGGCCTTTTCTTTATCTCTTAACACCTTATATCCCAAAGTAGATACTCAGTAAATATTTCACGTACACGAGAATTGCTCCTAGCTGGAAGGAACATGACAGACATTGAAAGAAAAATATATAGAAAAATTAAACTTCTAATTTAAAATTCCTCTTAAAGGGAGAAAACAAAAAAATTAACTGCAGGAAAGATAAAAATGGAACAAAAGAAGGAAACTAAACATAGTAAAATATGTGACCAATATTTGCATAATCATACCAGTATTACATTTTGATGATTGAATTTACAAAAACTGATATAACTATATTGGGGGGTGGAGGAGAGGCAGCAGAGGATGTAAAAGAACAAAATCGTCATCCGTCCTCACAGGAAGTCAACCGAAAATGTCTATAAATGACGATTCAAGAACTAGTGCAACAATATCACATAGGAATATGGAGCTTAATGCCAGAGAAGCAGGTAACAAAGCTGAAAGATCCTTAGTCTGAGGGCAGAGTGGGGCTTGAGGCGGGATCAAGATGGGGAAGGGCAGAGACTTTATTATTCAGTTTTTAGGCTTCGTGCACGTAACACTTTGATAACATCAAAGCCATAATAAAGTCAGGCTGCTCCATTTCTCCCTCTCTCTTTTGCCCCATGGAAATTTCATTGCATTTGGTTGATGAGATCTATGCAATGGGAACATCTGTCCTCTTTGCGACCATTTCCTGGGAGAGGAGTTCTCTGCATCTGGCTAACCTAGATCTTGTCTCCAGGCTTATTCCTCAGCTGACTATGGTCGTTGAGGCTCCCCAAGAGCAGAGGGTCCCCTGTGACTCTGGGGTCCAGGGTTCTGGGTGAGGGGCAGTGTCATGAGGGAGATGCTGCCCTCTAGATAGATGTGGGAGCTGCTGGGATGTCGCGGTGGTGGCTGGGAGCCCAGGACCCTATCCTTGCCAGGTTTCCCTCTCAGGCTTGCAGGAGGCAGCTCTGCACCAAGAGGGCTTTACTGTCTGTCTGCAGAGGAGGGAACCCACAGCAGGAGCCAGACAATGTACTTCTTGGAGATGGCTCCTCCATCATGATGTGTGTCTGCTGTGAAGCTATTGAAGTCAATAAGACCAGAATTACTTTCTTAGGGGACTGATGACAAAATTTAGTTTCCTCCCTCCTTGGCACGTATCATTCCAGGACACCAGTTTGTCTGTGATGGCCTTTTAGGAGGCTCAGTACCTAACAGCAGGTGTGGCTATTTCCTGTGGATTCTGCTCAAAGTGAAAGGAAGGTACCGACAGGTGGAGATCTGGGTGCCAGGCACCCTGCAGTTTGCATTCACTTTCTCCTTTGAGATCTACCACAGCCCTTTGAGGCTGGTGTCTGACTTACAGACAAGGAAGCTCAGAGAGGTGAAGGAACATTTCCAAGGTCACAGTGCAGGGGTGGAGGTAGGATATCAATCCAGGTCTGTCTGAATCCAAAGTCACCTAGACAATCTGGAAACTGGTTGGGACCAGAATTTTCTTGGTCAACGGACTGCATTGACACCTATTTCTTATCTTCCATAATTGCTGTCCTGAGGCTGGCCCTAAATGCCCAGGGCTTGGCTAAATACGGCCCAATTTCAGTGAGATATTGGCTCTGTGCTGTTTTCTCTTTGGGTGTTTGGTGGGTGAGAGTCTATTCATATGCCCTTCTTGCTGTCTGGTGTTACCATGTGCTTGGGAGATGCAGCCTGGCACTCAGGCTGCAGTTTGTGATTATAAAGTTAGCATAGTCCAGTGGGAAAATCAAGGACTGCAGAGCCAGCCAAGTCTTGGCTGTGTAAGCCTAGGCATGTTATTCAACCTCTCTGGGCTTCAATTTTCTTATTAAAAAAGAAAAAGGTTATGGGAGGCCCTACTTTGTAAGGTTGTCACAAACATTAAGTGACCCAGCTAACATGGCTTGCCATGTAGACAGCCAGGATTTCTAGAGACTCTTCCTGTTATTAAATGCTCCCCACAAAGGCTGATTTGGTCTGAGGCCATTAGCACACAGTGGGCTCAGAGCAAAGCCACAGGGCTGCCTTTTCACTTTTATAAATTAAAATCCCGCACAGTGGTGTTGTTTGTTAGTTTTCTAGCCCATTGATTTTTCTCTCACAATAAAACCTTGCTTATTTAGAACCCCCCAGGGAACACCAGAGTCCCAGGATTGCTGAGGATTATCTTAATCATTTTCTGAAATGTTCTGCCTCCTTCCTGCCTTTATTAACAGAGCCCGGGCATTCTCCAGCCTCTTGCCAGCCCTCCGAGATGGCACCCTCAGCCAGCAACTCCACGCTGCTGCGCTTTCGCTGAGCTACCCGTGCAGGCTGCTGCCATGCCAAGCCCCACATCTGCATTTTATGCTTTTCTGTGTCCTATACTTAGGTTGCTGCAGCTGTTGCCAGGATCCTTGCCCTTAGCAGCCCTTTCCCCACTTCTAATATCCTATAATCGATATTCTGTGACTCAGAAGCCAGATAACAGAGGATGCTTGAGTTGTTTGTGAAGAGAAGTTGGATTCTCAAGGGGTGCTCCTCCTGGGAGTCAAGTGCAGGGTTTCGTGACATTAGGGTTTGCACCTTGGTTGCTTTTTCCACCTTTCTTCTCTGTGGTTTTCTTAATGTGCCACGTCACTGAACTTGGAGAGCACAGGTGTAGCTGGGCTGTGTTTTATAAAAGATGGGTTCACGGAGGCCACCTTGGAAAGGTGTGCAGAGTACAGCAATGAGGAGCTCCAGCCCTGGGGCA